CAGTAGCAGTAGCAGTAGCAGTAGCAGTAGCAGTAGCAGTGGCAGGGGCAGTGGCAGTGGCAGTGGCAGTGGCAGTGGTAGTGGTAGTGGTAGTGGTAGTGGTAGTGGTAGTGGTCGTGGTCGTGGTCGTGGTCGTGGTAGTGGTAGTGGTAGTCGTGGTCGTGGTAGTGGTAGTAGTAGTAGTAGTAGTAGTAGTAGTAGTAGCGGTACTGGTAGTGATAGTGGTAGTGGTAGTGGCAGTGGTAGTGGAAGTGCTAGTGGTAGTAGTTGTAGTCGTGGTAGTGGTAGTCCTAGTAGTTTGTAGTCGTAGTAGTTGTAGTCGTAGTCGTAGTTGTAGTCGTAGTTGTAGTTGTAGTTGTAGTCGTAGTTGTAGTCGTAGTAGTCGTAGTAGTCGTAGTAGTCGTAGTAGTCGTAGTAGTCGTAGGAGTCGTAGTAGTCGTAGTAGTCGTAGTAGTCGTAGTAGTCGTAGTAGTCATAGTATAGTCGTAGTAGTCGTAGTAGTCGTATAGTAGTCGTAGTAGTCGTAGTAGTCGTAGTAGTCTTCGCCGTCATCGTCGTCGTCGTCGTCTTAGTAGTAGTAGTAGTAGTAGCAGTAGCAGTAGCAGTAGCAGTAGCAGCAGCAGTAGCAGTAGCAGTAGCAGTAGCAGTAGCAGTAGCAGTAGCAGTAGCAGTAGCAGTAGTAGTAGCAGCAGCAGCAGCAGTAGTAGTAGTACTAGTAGTAGTAGTAGTAGTAGTAGTAGTAGTAGTAGTACTGTAGTGGTACTACTGTAGTGGTAGTGGTGGTGGTGGTAGTGGTAGTGGTAGTGGTAGTGGTAGTGGTAGTGGTTGTTGTTGCAGTTGTAATTGTCTATCGATCTACCTGTAAATCTGCAAGCTTGAAAACGAAACAATTCTGCGAGACTTCCTCACTTTGAACTTGACAACATCAAAAAGGAGACAATTCTGCGAGACTTCCTCAATTTTCGAAGCTGACAACATCAAAAACGAAGCAATTCTGCGAGATGTCCTTTAAACATGGAAAGTTGAGTGCAGAGCTGACGGCCTCGTGACAATGCGTGTTTTTGCGATTTTTCCACTCCATCTGTCTAATGTGCTGCGCCTGCCACGAAAAATTGGTGCCAGATCATACGAAGTGCTGTGCCTGTCACGCAAAATCATAGCAGCAAACTTGAAGATCTGCTGCTCCAAAATGCAACCCCTCTCAGGAAATCAATGTCCTGACCTCCATGTCTCATGTACCGCGCCTGCCACGCGAAATGCATCTTTGCGGATCCTCTTCAAATGCCCCACGCCTGCCAATGCTTTTGGCAATGCTACAAAACCGTCACATTTTGCTCACTTTTGACAAGGTGCACAATCCCTTGCGCCTGCCACGCAAAACGACATCTGAACGTCCAAAAGTGCTCCGTACCCATCAGTTTTTTGCAGTTTTGACTTGGACATGTGCTTCGCGCCGCAACGGCGTGCACTTTTCAACATCTCAACTTCCAAAAGTGTTCCGAGAATGGTGTGATTTGTACATTTTGACTTCGAACTGTGCTTCGCGCCACAACGGCGTGCACTTTTTCGACATCTCAACTTCCAAAAGTGTTCCAAAGCTGAGGTGCTTTGTACATTTTGACTTGGAAATGTGCTTCGGGCCACAACCGCGTGCATTTTTGACATCTCAACCCCCCAGAGTGTTCCGAAGGTGAGGTGTTTTTAGCTTTTTCACTTGCAAATGTGCCTCACAACGGCGTGCACTTTTTCGACATCTCAACTTCTAAAAGTGGTCCGACGTTGGTGTGTTTGTTTTGTACATTTTGACTTGGAAATGTGCTTCGTGCCACAACGGCGTGCATCTGGCTAGCTGGCTCTGCACCTGCCGCTTTAGCGAGCCTACTTTTCGACCCTCCGGAGCCACAAATCATTGAAAAACACAGTGTTTCGCGACTTTCTTACCTTTTCGCGCACCTGGATCTTCTCTCTTCTGACTCTTTCTCTTTTTTGATCTTCTTTCTTCTTCTCTTCTCTCCTCTTCTGTGACTCTTCCCATCTCTGCTTTTCATCTCTCAATATTGTCAGAAGTTTGACTTCTAAACTTCCTTCGACGAATATACTACGCTATATTACACTAGACTCATGACACTACACTCATTACATTACACTACACTAATTACAACTAATTGCATGTAATTACATCTAATCACATAGAATTACATCTAATTGTAAAATTACACTAATTAAATTAATTACAGTAATTACGCTACAACGACAACGACAACAGCAACAGCAACAACAACAACAACAATGACAACGACAAGAACAAGAACAAGAACAAGAACAACAGCAACAACAACAACAACCAGTAGTACCGCACAAGGCGGTGGCGGAAGTTTCAAAAATAGGAAACCGATAGGAAGGGTTGGTTGTTGTGACTCACGGATGGCAGAGCGAATCCACTGATGGACCGAGAGGTGGTTGGAGTTGTGTTTTCTGGAGTGGTTGCAATGGTTGCAGAGGTCACCTCACCACAACTGCTGGATGTAGTGTGGTGTAGTGCAGTTGTAGTTGCAGTTGTAGTTGTAGTGTAGTGTAGTGGAGTTGTAGTTTGAAGTTGTAGTTGTAATGTAGTAGTGCAATTAGTGTAGTGTAGTTGCAGTTGCAGTTGTAGTTGTGGTGTGGTGTAATTAGTGTAGCGTCTTGTAGTGTAATGTAGTGTTGTGTACTGTAGCGTGGTATAGTGTAGTGTAGTCTATTGTATTGTATTGTAAAATAGTGTAGTTGTAGTTGTAGTGTAGTGTTGTGTAGTGCAACGTAGTAGTAGTTGCAGTTGTAGTGTAATGTAATGTAATTAGTGTAGTGTAGTGTAATGTTGTGTAATGTAGTGTAGTTGTAGTTGTAATTGTATTTGTAGCTGTAATGTACTGCAGTTTAATTAGTTTATTGTAGTGTAATGTAGTGTCGCTGTAATTGTAGTTGTAGCGGTGGTGGTGGTGGTGGTGGTGGTGGTGGTCGTCGTAGTAATAGTAGTAGTAGTAGTAGTGGTAGTAGTAGTAGTAGCAGCAGCAGCAGCAGCTGTTGTAGTAGTTGTTGTGTCAGTAGTGTAGCCTAGTGTAATTAAATGTAGGTAGTGTAGTGTAGTGTAATTAGTGTTGTGTAATGTAACGTAGTATATTTGTACTTGTAGTTGTAGTAGTTGTAGTGTAGTGGCACTTGTAGTTTTAGTTGCAGTTGTAGTTGCCTATCTATATATCTGTCTATCTGCAAGCTTGAAAACGAAGCTATCCTGCGAGACTTCCTGAGTTTTTGAACTTCTGCGAGACTTCCTCAATTTTCGAAGTTGACAACATCAAAATCGGAACAATTCTGCGAGACTCGCTTCAAAAATGGAAAGTTGAGAGCCGAGCTGACGGTCTCGTGCCAATGCGTTTTGCGATTTTCCACTCCATCTGTCAAAAGTGCCGCGCCTGCGACGAAAATTGATGCCAGATCATACGAAGTGCTGCACCTGTCACGCAAAATCATCTTCCCAACACTGAAGATCTTATGCTCCACTCAGGAAATCGGCGCCCTGACCTCCTAACATCTCTGATGAACATGTCTCTTGTACTGCGCCTGCCACGGAAAATGCATCATTGCAGATCCTCTTCATATGTCCCACGCCTGCCGTCGTTGTTGGAAATGGGACAAAACCTTCACGTTTTGCTCACTTTTGACAAGGTCCACAATCCCTTGCGCCTGCCACGCAAACCGACATCTGAACGTCCAAAAGTGTTCCGAACCCGTCAGCTTTTTACACTTTTGGCTTCGAAATGTGCTTCGCGCCACAACGGCGTGCACTTTTTCGACATCTCAACTTCCAAAAGTGGTCCGAGAATGGTGTGTTTTGTACATTTTGACTTCGAAATGTGCTTCGCGCCACAACGGCGTGCACTTTTTCGACATCTCAAGTTCCGAAAGCGGTCCGAGAATGGTGTGTTTTGTACATTTTGACTGGGAAATGTGCTTCGCACCACAACGGCGTGCACTTTTTCGACATCGCAAATTCTAAAGTTCCCCGAACCTGGTGGCGTGCAATTTTTCATCTCTCATCTGAACACATGGCTCCGCACCCGCGGCTTTAGCGAGCCTACTTTTCAAACCCTCCGGAGCCACAAATCATTGGAAAAAACACAGTGAATCGCGACTTCCTACCTTTTCGCGCATACTAGTAGGACGACGACGGCAACGTCGACGGCGACGTTGATGGCGTTGACGACGACAACTACTGCTACTGCTACTGCTACTGCTACTGCTACTGCTACTGCTACTAGTAGTAGTAGTAGTAGCAGTAGTAGCAGTAGTAGTACTACTAGTACAGTACTAGTAGTACTACTACTGCTACTACTACAGTTACAACTACACTACATTACACAAATTACACTGCAGCAGCGCGCTACAACTACAAATACAAATACAACTACACGACATTACACAACGCTACACTACACTAATTACATTGCATTACGCTACAGCTACGCTACAACTGCAACTGCAATTACAACTACCACTACATGTCGCTACACTACGCTACACTACGCTACACTACACTACACCACACCATACCACACCACACCACACTACACTACACTGCACCACGCCACACTGTACTACACTACACTCCACTACACTACACTACACTACACTACACTACACATCACGGATGGCAGAGCGAATCCACTGATGGACCGAAAGGTGGAGTTGTGTTTTCTGGAGTGGTTGCAATGTTTGCAGTGGTCATCTCACCACAACTGCTGGATGTAGTGTGGTGTAGTGCAATTGTAGTTGTAGTCGTAGTTGTAGTGGAGTGTAGTGGAGTTGTTGTTGTGATGTGGTGTAATTAGTGCAGTGTAGTTGCAGTTGCAGTTGCAGTTGTAGTTGTGGTGTGGTGTTAGTGTAGTGTCTTGTGTACTGTGGTGTTGTGTACTGTAGCGTGGTATAGTGTAGTGTAGTCTAGTGTAGTGTAAGGTAGTGTAGTTGTAGTTGCAGCGTAGTGTAGTGCATTTAGTGTAGAGCCGTGAGTCGTGTAGTGCAATTTAGTGGTAGTTGCAATCGTAGTTGCAGCTGTAGTTGTACGTAGTTGTAGTTCTAGTTCTAGTGTAATGTAATGTAATTTGTGTAGTGTAGTGTTGTGTAATAAAATGTAATGTAGTTGTAGTCGCATTTGTATTTGTAGTTGTAGTGTGCAGCAGTGTAATGAGTGCAGTGTAGTGTAATGTGGTGTAGTTGCAATTGTAGTTGTAGCTGTGGTGGTGGTAGTAGTAGTAGTAGTAGTAGTATAGTGTAGTTGTAGTTGTAGTTGTAGTTGTAGTTGTAGCTGTAGTAGTAGTAGTAGTAGTAGTAGTTGTTGTTGTTGTTGTTGTCTATCTATCTATCCATCCATCTATCTATCCATCTATCCATCTATCTATCTGCCTGTCTATCTATCTATCTATCTATCTTTCTACCTTTCTATCTTTCGATCTTTGTATCTTTGTATCTTTCTATCTATCTATCTATCGATCGATCGATCTATCTATCTATCTATCTCTCTCTCTCTCTCTATCTATCTATCCATCTATCTATCTATCTACCTACCTATCTCTCTCTATCTATCTATCTATCTATCTATTTATCTATCTATCTGTCTATCTATCTATCTGTCTGTCTATCTATCTATCTATCTACCTATGTAGGTGCAATCTGCAAGCTTGAAAACGAAGCCCTTCTGCGAGACTTCCTTCACATATGGAAAGTTGAGTGCAGAGTTGACGGCCTCGTACCATTGTGTTTTGCGATTTTTCCAGTCCACCTGTTTAAAGTACTGCGCCTGCCACGAAAAAATACGAAAAAGTGATGCCTGGTCGTACGAAGTGCTGCACCTGTCACGCAAAATCATCTTAGCAAACCTACAGATCTGATGCTCCAAAATGCAACCCCTCTCAGGAAATCAGCGCCCTGACCTCCTAACAGCTCTGATGAACATGTCTCTTGCAGTGCGCCTGCCACGGAAAATGCATCTTTGCAGATCCTCTTCAAATGTCCTACAAAACCCTCACGTTTTTCTCACTTTTGACAAGGTGCACAATCCCTTGCGCCTGCCACGCAAAACGATGCTTCAACGTCCAGAAGTGGCGCGCACATGTGGTGTTTTGTAGATTTTGACTAGGAAATGTGCTTCGCGCCACAACGTCGTGCACTTCTTCGACATCGCAACTTCCAAAAGTGGTCCGAACATGAGGTGTTTTGCGCATTTTGACTTCGACACGTGCTTCACGCCGCAACGGCGTGCACTTTTTCGACATCCCGAACCTGGTGTGTTTTATACATTTTGACTTGGAAATGTGCTTCGTGCCGCAACGGCATGCACTTTTTCGACATCTCAACTTCTAAAATCTAAAAGTGCTCCGGAGCTGCGGTGTTTTGTGCATTTTGACTTGGAAATGTGTTTCGCGCCACAATGGAGTGCAATTTTTCATCTCTCATCTGGCCAGCTGGCTCCGCACTCGCCGCTTTAGCGAGCCTACTTTTCGACCCTCCGGAGCCACAAATCATTGGAAAAACACAGTGAGCCGCGACTTTCCTACTTTTTCGCGCACCTGGATCTTCTTTCTTCTCACTCTTTCTCTTTTTGATCTTCTTTCTTCTTTCTTCTCTCTTCTTCTCTTCTCTTCTCTTCTCTTCTCTGACTCTTCCCATCTCTGCTTTTCATCTGTCCATATTGTCGGAAGTTTGACTTCTAAACTTCCCTCGACAACTACATTAGTTTACACTACACTAGACTACACTACACTAGGCCACACTACAGTGCACAACACTACAGTACACTACACTACGCTACACTACACTACACTAATTACACCACACCACAGCTACAACTTCAGCTGCAACTGCAACTGCCACTACACTAGTTACATTACATTACAACTACAACTCCACGACGCTACAGCTATAACTACAACTACAACTGCACTACACCACACTACATCCAGCAGTTGTGGTGAGGTGTTCGCTGCGATTCACAACAACCAACTTCTCCGATAGGTTTCCTATCTTTGAAACTTCCGCCACCGCCTTGTGCGGTACTACTGGTAGATAGACTCGAGAAACAGGCAAGCTGTAGGGTCTACGGGGAGAACCAATCAAGAACTACTTGAAATGGCACTGAAGAAGTTGAGGTGTGTGGTTGCTCGGTTTGCTCCAGGATGTGACAGATTCACTCAACCAGGGTGACGCAAAGGCCCAGGGCTATTGACATGATTTGACATGTACTTAGCGTTACTGATGTAATTTGATTGTTTCTAATTTGATTCCGGCTACTGCACACTGTTTCAGGCCGGTCGACATTCGAAGTTGGTTTGTTTGAGCAAACTTGTTCTCAAACCGGCAGGTGATTCTCGGCGCTCCCGTGCTTGAGATTTCTTTCGTCCAGGCGAAATTTGGAGTAAGACGGGTAAGATCAATGATGCTCCACGACACGCCCCAGCAGTTCTTCCCACTTGCTTGTGTTAGAAGATCACTTCAGAGAATGGAATTGATATCCATACTGCCAACAAAAATCCTTCTGCAAAGGGTTTGTGAAGGGAAAATTCACTAGCCGCTGTCACACTACAAACATTTGTCAAATCCTTGTTTTGCAAAGTCATTGCATTTGGTGAACTGCACAGCGTGAGCCTGGAGGAAAAAAATGGAGAAGTGAGTGTTGCCAACGTCTCTGATTTGGCCGAGCCAGTTATCTTTCGAAACCCGGTTGCAAGTGCTGCGGCTCGTACCTCGCTTGTGGCGGTAAGATGCGCCAATCGCTTGTGGCAGTAAAAGCGTTCATTTTTCCCCAGCTAATGGGGTCTTCAGCCCAGAATAGCCCCGGTGTGCACCGGTGCAGGCGCCGGGTCAGGTTCAACGAGGTCGCGGAGAAGGTTCCGAAGGTTCTGGAGAAGGTCTGGGAGGCTTTGGTGCAGAGCCAGGTCAGGTTCAACAGGGTTCCGGAGAAGGTTCTACAAAGCCAAGTCAGGTTCAACAGGGTTCCGGAGAAGGTTCCGGAGAAGGTTCCGGAGAAGGTTCCGGAGAAGGTCGGGGAGGCTTTGGGGCAGAGCCAGGTCAGGTTCAACAGGGTTCTGGGGAAGGTTCTGGAGAAGATTCCAGAGAAGGTCGAGGAGCCTTCAGTGGTTGTCAGGTTCAACAGGGTTCCCAAGAAGGTTGGGGAGAAGGTTCCGGAGACGCAGCGCCAGGTCGGGTTCAACAGGGTTCCAGAGAAGGTTCTGGAGAAGGTTCCAGAGCGGAAGCTTTGGTGCTGAGCCAGGTCAGGTTCAACAGGGTTCCGGAGAAGGTTCCGGAGAAGGTTCCGGAGAAGGTTTGGGAGGCTTTGGTGCAGAGCCAGGTTAGGTTCAACAGGGTTCCGGAGAAGGTTCCGGTGAATGTCTGGGAGGCTTTGGTGGAGAGCCAAGTCAAGTTCAACAGGGTTCCGGAGAAGGTTCCGGAGAAGGTCTGGGAGGCTTCGGCGCAAAGCCAGGTCAAGTTCAACAGGGTTCCGAAGCAGGTTCCGCAGAAGGTTCCGGGAGGCTTTGGTGCCGAAGAAAGTCTGAGAGGCTTTGGTGCAGAGCCAGGTCAGGTTCAACAGGGTTCCGGAGAAGGTCTGGGTCTGGGAGGCTTTGGTGCAGAGCCAGATCAAGTTGAACAGGGTTCCGGAGAAGGTTCCGGAGAAGGTTCCGGGAGGCTTTGGTGCAGAGACATGTCAGGTTCAACAAGGTTCCGGAAAAGGTTCTGGAGAAGGTTCCGGGAAGCCTTGCTGCAAAGCCAAGTTAGGTACAACAGGTTCCGAAGAGAAGGTTCCGGAGAAAATTCCGGAGAAGGTTTGGGAGGCTTTGGTGCAGCCAGGTCTGGTTCAACAGGGTTCGGAGAAGGTTTGGGAGGCTCTGGTGCAGAGCCAGGTCAGGTTCAACAGGGTTCGGAGAAGGTTTCGCAGAAGGTGTGGGAAGCTCTGGTGCGGAGCCCGGTTGGGTTTAACAGGGTTCCGGGGAAGGTTCTGGAGAAGGTTCCGGAGAAGGCTCCGCGAGGCTTTGGTGCAGAGCCAGGTCAGGTTCAACAGGGTTCCGGAGAAGGTTCCGGAGAAGGTTTGGGAGGCTCTGGTGCAGAGTCGGGTCAGGTTCAACAGGATTTGTGGGCATTTAACTCACAGAAACCGAGCTTAGGTGTTTGGTTTCGCAGCATGGTTCAGAAAAAATTGTAAAAATAAAGTCTTGCGGCTGTTGGGGATACCACCGAAGTTTATTTACTGCCGCAAGCGATTTTTTTTTCTGCCGCAGGTGATTGCTGTTTCTGCGTGGCAGGTGCAGCCTTTTAAGGCCTAATCGCTTGTGGCGGTAAGTGTCCTTGATGACAGGGTATATAAAACCAATCGCTTGTGGCAGTAAGCTGCTTTGCAGCACTTGCGCACATACTTGACGTTACGTTGATCAAATCTTTTTGGTTCTCACTCGTCGGTTTCTTTACTGTCTCCCGATGCGGACGCTGCGCTATGCGTTGTCTTCTATCCATGTGATTTCTACACATTCACTGGAAACATCGCAACGCTGACGTACATAAGGTTTATGTCAACTTCTTTCTGTTGTACAGGATTTCACTGTTTTTACTGATGTCTTGATTGAAGTTTTCATGTCTGTATCCTTTTAAGTGGATGAAACAAAGAGGGTTGGAGCAACTTTTTAGCCTACTCTCCCATATCTGGGGGCTATTCGACTCGGTTACCATGGGTAAAACATATGGTTTTTGATAGCATTTGGTGTGAATCCAACCCAGAGAGAATAAATGAAAGGAGAAAAAAAAACGACTTTTATCAAGGTGGAATTTCAGTTCTGCTGTGTTTTTCGTGTCTGTCGTTTTGCAGTTGGGTATATATAACGCGACGGTTGATATACATGTATATATATATATATATATTGGTCATAGATACCGCGGCGATAGCCTCACGTTAGGACATACATAGAACGGCGCGACCGCGATTAGATCTGTAGCTGTTGAGCGAGCGTAGTGATCCGTGTATTTCCATGGGAGGGTTTAGGGTGGAAACTTTACTTACATACCTAGCACATCATCATTAACCTTCTCCTCCTCCTCCTCATCATCATCATCATCATCACCATCACCATCATCCTCATCTTCCTCCTCCTCCTCCTCCTCCTCATGAACATCATCATCATCATCATCATCAACATCATCAACATCATCTTCATCATCATCATCATTTTCAATCTATTGATATATTGGTTGGAACAGGCACGTTATTATCCCACCCCACTCCACCCCAGCAGCAACTGATCATGAAAGAGCAGTGCCTGTGTCTGCAGGACAGCAAGAAAGATGATGAGTTTGCCGTGCCTGTGTGTACAGGAACATGAACGTTATTATCCCGCCCCACCCCCACCCCACCCCACCCCACCGTCAGGCTCCTACCTCGCTTGTGGCGGTAAGCAAAACCAATCGCTTGTGGCAGTAAGTACGTTCAAAAATCTTATTGCCGCAAGTGATTGGTTTTGAAGGTCTTATTGCCGCAAGTGATTTTTGTCTTACTGCCGCAAGTGATTGAATCTTACTGCCGCAAGTGATGGGTGAGCCAGTGCGGCTTGCTGCTGACTACAGTCAGTCGAAAAAAACATCTCGTGCTTCGCCCGATGCAAAGAATGAGTGGAAAACTGTATACATCCGTGGCTGCATGCTGTGTATGACACTCTGTCGGTTGAACTCATATTCTTCAACTGATGCCTCTTGGCGAATTTGAGGCTTCCACGAAAATGTAACGTCTAAAGAAGGTAAAACCCATGCAGGTATGAGGCTGCATGAAACGTGTGGCTTTGGACCAAGGACTCCAGGATTCTTCGCCAGGGGTGGGAGATTGTGTCTTTTTTGACTTGGCCAGAGCCTTAGTCCATAGAGATGCTATGCCAATCTATGCCAATCTATGCCATATATGAAGCATCATGAAACATCATGAATCATTGAGAATCATTATGAACTATCAGTCACTATTAGCAGTCACTATCATGAATCACTGTTTGGAGAGATCTGACAAGTCTGACATGTTTGGTCAAGCCACAGGGACTACGTGTCTATGTCGCGGTTGGTCTTTTATCTCCACGACTTTATTAAAAAAAAAACAATTGCTGTGTGCAGCAACCCAAAGGATAGTCCTTGGAGCCCAACTTCTCCAATTCATGCAACTTCTCATGCTGTTTCCGGGCTCAAATGCCTGGTGTCTAAGGACACAAACAGTTGGTCCACACAGGGCGTGTCGGTGGCAAGCAGCAGCCAAATTGCACAAGTCACTGGTGAGTCTGGGAGCACAGGGAGCACAGCAGGAAAGTACTCGTTGTATCTCGTTGTGCTGAATTGAGCCAAGCCTCGATGCAGTTGGACAAAGATGTCAGAGCTAGGAGGGAAACAGAAGGAAGAGAATGAACAAACAGACAAGAGTAGTTTGATATACTTAGTTATGCTTAGATATTATAGTTAGTTTAGATATTATAGTTAGATATAGTTAGATTGTTAGATCACAGATCTGTCATGATACACTCGAATACAGTGGAACCGCATCCCACGAGCTCCTGAGGCTAAGTAATGGCACCTGGTGCGCAGCAGTGCATTTCTCTTTGTTCTCATTTGTTCGACCCTCGGGACTGCCGCGCTAAAGCAACCGAGTAGAACTGCTATATTCAGCATCTTAACGTATTCAACTACATTCCAGCGAATTCTGCTTACATCGAATTTGACACTTGACTTGGGGCTGCATTCTGTGTTTGCAGATACGAGATGTTTCCGGCCCCTCATTCACCGTAGATTGGCAACTGTAAGGCCTCCAAACAGTTTAGTTTTTGCATGGTTCGGTCTTGCTTCCAAAAATTTCCCTGTTTACACCTTGCATGAAGTATTGTATTATCGACAAGCATTGCAATGTTATCTTCCGGCATTGCATGACGAGTCTCAGAGAATATGTAAACAGTTGCGTTGAATTCAAGCCATCGAAGTATTTGCCACCAGAATCACCAAATGCCTTCAATGTATGGAGTTGCTCTTGAATTGGAAGGAAGGGCAAGGACCAAGAGTTTCAAGGCATCGACAGAAGAAGGTCACAACGACTACAGCAGTGCTTGGTTGAAATATGATACAAGCATTGTGTGCAAGGCAACCAGCGTTTTTTTTCTGCCTTTACAATGTGTGTATCCATACGCGCGACACACATGCCTTCATGCCCGGAACGTCAAAGCAACCCGCGCTGCTCCGTCGAGGTTCAGACGATTCCGTTTGACGAGATCATTGACACCAAGGCGATGCCGGCCTCCGAGAGCTGCTTGAGAGCTGCAGATGCCTTGCTTTGCTTTGAACTGAACGAAAAGTTACAAACATTCAGTGAGCTGACTGAAAAGTTACACAACCGTGTTGCTATATTCGTAGATGTCAAAGATCTTTCTCAGGCTATTAAGGAGCCTGGGATGCAACCTTTTTTGGATCCCCGCAATCTTTCCGATTTTAATTTTAAACCATGCCTTGAAGTTTGTGGTCTGCCATGGTTTACAATCTCTCAAAATTTAGGAAAATGTGCAAGGTCTGCCATAGTTTGCTTTGATTTTGATTCATTTCCACTACCACTAGTTGAGCTCCATACAGCGGATTGTTCCTGCAGGATCCTGACTGAGTGTATTCACGGTTATTGCGACATTCGTGAGCACTGTCTAGCAACATTCTTTTGCCTCGACTCCACGCATCCCACATGTCAAATGCATAGGATGCCATGAATCAAGTCAAAGCACAGCCATCCACCTCCTCTTGAATTCTGGTGGGGATTGGCTTGACCACCACAGTTTCATTGTATATACCAATCAGTTGGTGTGTTCAAGAAATTAGGATATTGATTATTGATTCAACTAGCTATCAGGGAAGTGGTTCTCCTCTAGGAAGATACAGATGTTTGGCGCAAGCTTTCCTTCGCATTGCAACTTCTGAGCAGGACTATGTCGTCAGCCAGGAGAATTACATGATCGCAATCGCACTCATGCGTCTTGATACCAACAGACCCTGCTTGGGAATTTATTGTTCTATGTTTTGGGTGCGCTTAGGCCGAACATGCCATAGACTGGTTGGGGCTCGGACGATCCGAAGCGCGAAGAAATGTAACATACTTTTGGTCAGTGGTTGCGCTTTTAGGCGCTGTAAGCTGCCCCAAGCCCTGAAGCGCCTGAACTTGCGCCTCTCAGGCGTAAGCAACGCCAGTCGTATGTTCTTTTTTACGTACGTCGCTGCCAATACCCAACGGGGATCGGACAGAGTGCTTAGTGATTGTGGTTCATGTAGTCTGTGTTGGCACGTAATCTGCGTTAGCAACAGGATAATTCTGAATCATATGGCCTTATGTTTTCATTTGGCCTTGTTTCAGGGTTACTTCGTAGGGGGGGTGGGAATGGGGTGAGCGTTTTGTGACATTGGAGTGTGATGAAATTTGGCGGAAGAAGCGCTACATTTAAAATGTCCCTGCAACCTGCTCTGCAAAAGCGAGATAAGACATGGGCAGATGAAGCTTTAGAGGTGCAGAAGTGGCTTCGACATACTATAAAAAGGGAGGACCATGCAAGACAAAGATGGGTGGACTGGGTGGACATGTTCAATTCGAAGTTGCAGAAAGCCTGAGAGCCTGAGAAAGAATGAACAAGTGAGGTGGCAGTAGGGCAGGCATAGGAAAAGACTGAGAGTAGCTGGGAATTGAATTACGGCAATAACGTAGCACAAGATAGGGTTCAACTACGAGACTTTCGAACGAAAAGACTCAGCAGAAAAGCTTTAGGTCACAGGAAAGTCAGCCCACATGCATTCCAAGAAAGTACACCACATATATAGTTAATTATAGTTGCATACTGTGAAATACAGTTAGAAGTGGTTCACGTTGTTCACCAGTGTTGCAGACGTTGAGGTTGGTGGTCTTCGTTTTGGTTTGCGGACTAGCTGGAGTCTCAGAACATTCGGGGTGCAGTTTGAAGCTTAAGATTGCACTTGGCAACTTATAGCAACTTCACAAGACTGCAAAAATCGACTGTTGCGACTGTTGATAAAATGAATGTTGTTCAGTTGTGTCAGTTGTGTCAGTTGTTTCAGTTGTCAGTGTTGTTTTTCTTTTCATCTCCCATGGCCTCCCATGGCCTCCCATGGCCTCCCATGGCCTCGGCCTCCTGGCTGCAGTGCTGCACCTGGAGCTTCTTCCGGGTACGAGCCCCCAACAGTGGCAAGACCAACATCAAGGACCGTGGAGACCGTGGGACCGTGGGGAGAGGAGAGGTGCAGCTTGTAACATTTGTGTAACATTTCTGTAACATTTGTGTAACATTTGTGTAACATTTGTGACACAGTGAGTGACACCCGGTCAGAAAGCTGGTCAAGGTACATCAGACGTACATCAAACATATTCAGACGGCAGACTCTTACAAGCCCGCAAGTGGGTTGAGGCAGGGAGTAGGGTGAACTTCCAATAGTGTTATGGTAACATGAGCCTGATATGGACCGTGCAAGGACGACAGAGGGAGATCGCATGTCCGAGATCCCAGCAATTCCTATTGCTGTTGTTTCAGAGTGGTTTCTGCGATTCATCTTGAGATTCTTAAGATGGACAAGCCTTTTGCAAAACGCGACACATTACCATGAAATGATTTTGTACTTGAAAAAGCAGAAGGCACAACTTGATGCCGTAGGGTCCAATACAAGGAGTGTGTGAAAAAGTAAGCGGAACTCGGATGACTTGCCTTTTGAACTTGGCACACACTTGGGGAGGTCATCCGTATTTCAGTTGCCCTGCCTTCCTTCCCTAATAATAAGTGGAACAGAATTCCCTGACGTCTAAAAGTTGTCGCTTTCAGTGCTCTCCCACTCGTGATCATGTCTCGGGGAGCTTCGGTGCAACGCTATGACATAGCTAAAGTTGCTACGCACCTATCATGCATATCAACACAGAGTCTATACAGAGTCTGTACTGCGTCTAAAGAGTCCATACAGTATCCTTACATCAACAATTTCAGTTTCCTTACATTTGACATCAGAATCAACAGTAGTAATGACAGTGTCAAATAATGTGGAGTCCAGGAGTCCGGGAGCTCAGAACTCTCCAACTGCGACAGATGACATGGCGCCGAGGTTGTCAAATTCACTCGCAGTGAAGTTGTGGCAGCTCGGTCGAAGGGGAGGGCCAGAGACACAAGAATTACCTGAATTCCCTTCGTTGTTTGCTGCTGTTTGCTACTGAAGCTACTGTCTCCTTCTATCCCTGTCAAGTATTGTTGAAGTATTGTAAGCCCCGGATGTCACCACTTCTCTCACAAGGCACTTTAGATATGTTGAGAGATCTTGAGATCTCTAGATCTCTTTATATAGATGTCTTTAGCTTCTTTAGCAGAGAAGATGTGCAAGGCCAGGGACGAGATGGTCTCACCGGCGCAGGCGCATGGATCAGAGCCTGTTGAGTACAAGAATGACAAATTATGATGATTTATCACCATATTATGATCACATTATGGTGTTATATAATGTTATATGATATTATATTAAATTGCACAATATGATCTACGATATGGTATTATTACGTATTAGTACAGTTGTAAACTTGCAAACATACTTTCCACACACACACACACATGTGTGTTGATTCTATTTTGAGGGCCTGACAACATTTGACGAGCCGTGGCACGTCGACCGGCCGACAAGATGGACTTTGTTACGTCTTGTCAACTACTTGACTCAGGTTCCAGAGACAATTTCTCCATTTTTATTCGCTAAGTCCTCTTGGTTTCAACCATATCGTGTAGCTTGTGGAGACAAATTCTCTTTCAAGTGGCTTTGGAGCCTTTTTTTTTTCCAACAGATCGCTTCAGCTATAGGCTATTGGGGCCTCTTAGTTCTCTATGAATCGGTTGAATTTGGACATTTCCTCTCAAACTCGCCGCTGCTGCCTTGTCTTCCTGTCGTGTCTCCCTTCATGATCGCTGCGTTGGGGTGCTGCCGCCTGTCTCGCGGTCTTGTCTTCCTTGATTTCTGCTTTGGGCAAGACCCGGCAAGGGCTCTATGGGGATTTTTTTTTTGAGGTTGCTGTCAAGCCAGGATTTGCAGATACAGTACTGTATATTATTTTCTCTTGTTGCATGGGTGCAAGTCAAATATATGGTCTTCATTCCCGGTCACATAATGTTTCCATCGGTGTGAAAACGACTGCAAATGCTCTGATGCATACCAAGGTCTTGAATTAACTTTAAGTTTTTGAATCAAAAAAAAATGGTTGAATTTCAGTCAGGCTGCTACTTGGAACACCCAGAAAGGGGGCATTTCAATCGCCTCTTCCACTAGTTCAACCCTGCTAAGCCCTGATGGAAATGCCTAGCTATATGCGGTCTATGCCAATGTAATTTATCCACAGAGGTCTCAGCAGCCCTTCAGAGGCATGCCCTGAAAAGGATTAGACATCTCATTGACATTTCTATGCAATTTGCATGTCTCACATTCAATCCACGCCACGTCCCTGCCACAGACTGCTAGAAGTGGCCGAAGTGGCCGCAGTGATAAGGAAAAGAACACGAAGGCACTCCGGGCTCCGGGCGTAGGTGGCGTGCAGAAATCTGTCAGACATTGCTGCAGCAAATGACCTCCTATTGATCCAGACAGATCCAGTGTCTTCTTCTTCTTCTTCATTTGGAGGCTTTGCCCTCCTTTGCCGATGTGAGTACCCATTGATACCCATTCTGTTGTCTACCACACGCAGGAGTTTTGATCCCAGACGGATCCTAGAGGAAGAACCCATGACATGAGAATGCATTTCTTCAAAATTATCTTCCTATTTCTATTGTTTCTATTGTTTCTATTGTTTCTATTGTTTCTATTTTTCATTATTTTTCTATGCGTTTGGTTTGGACAGCAGTATGCGCTGCTGCTTGCATTGTGCACTGTGAGGTGCTTGTGACGTGGGAGGTGGAACCTGTCCTGGCCTGAATTGACCTGGAAGGGGACTCTAAACAGAGGGGATTTGAGACGTCTGTGCTTTGTCCGTTCTTTTAACCTTCAGTCGCATAGAAGTCACATCAACAAGACTGAAGAACCTATGGAAATGGAAAATTGGTGGGGAAAGGCAAAGGGGCAAGAAACGGTGAAAGAAAGATCTGGACTATACATACCAGAAGATAAAGAGACGAACTTGTGTGCTGGTGTTGTCACTGGCAATGATTTTTTGTTGTGATCATGAAGCTTGTTACTTTCTTACTTTTGAGCCGCAGATGTGCAGCGCTTACATGAATTGTTCCTTTGTCGAAGTGAACAACTCTTGCTGCTTGACTATTTTGACTATACTCAGCATATGCAGCATATGCACAGGCAATCTGAAAGGATCTGACAGGGCATAGCTATGGCCGGAGTCAAAACGTGTCACTCTGAGGCTGAGGTTTTGGCGATTCTGAGCTGCATTGAGCTAGGCGTATTTGTCGCCATTGCTGGAAGCCTTGGAAGCCTTGGAAGCCTTGGAAGCCTGAGTAAAAGCGGGTCAAAAGCGGGTCAAAAGTGAGTTGTTTCGTTGCAAAGAGTTGGTCTTGGCAGTTTGGCGCTGGCGCTGTGGGCAGTTTGCTAACGGCAGAAGCTCAGGAACTTGGACCATATGAAGGGCCACGGATACGTCGCGATGGACCGCTTGCAATTTGTGCAATTTGCGTTGGACCTAACGTTTCTAGCAAAACGCATCTGGCGCGGTAATCATCGGATACAAAGCATTGGAAATCCATGCACAGCCGCACAGCATCCGTTTTTCAAAGATCTGGTTTGTGCTGCGCCATGGATTTGTGAGATAAACATTTGGAGTATGGAGTGATATGGAGTGATATGGAGTGCATGAGGGTATGACAGGTATGACTTGGGAGGAGATTTGAGATGACAGACTGAAATGATCTTGAGAATTGAGAAGATCGGCTTGGGAATGGAAAGCATGGCTGAGCAGCTCATAGAAAAAACATGAAAAAACAACTTGTCATAAACGTACCATACCAATCCATACCACCATCTTCAAGGCATTGAGTCATAAGCATTATCATTGCATAATCCCCACCATGGTTGACGATGGTAACGGGAGCTTAGTCCGACAAAATGTTGAATGTCCTTGCAGTCAGCTTGGGGACGTGTACAGTGAGCTGCAGGACGTGGACGTTGCTGTTGGTCCTCGTGTCAGCCAAAAGAAGTCACTCAAAGATCTTCGGAGCAAATCCAAGGACTGAATGGGAATGGGACTGACTCGGCTTGGCACTGGTGTTTGTCGACTGGGAGCAGGCTCTTATCAAGTGAGAAGCACCGGGCTTCTTTGAAAGGGAAAGTCCAGCAAGAATGCTTCAAATGGCTTCCACTTGCTTGGACTGTGCCCATTGGACTTCAAATTCAATTCAACTCAAAGCTCTCTCGAGTGTAGTGAGGGTCTTTTGGTCTATTCCCGAAGCTAGCTTGCTAGCTGGAGTTGGATTTGCTTTAGCAATGAATTGGTGGCAGGCTGGATGCAGCTCCCATGATCTTTCATGTCGAACTGGTTTTGGGCCCCGCCTGTTGGACATGATTAAGCATGTCGAACTGTGACCCCCCCCCCCCCCCCCCCCCCCCCCTCCCCCTCCTCCCCCTCCACCCCTCCTCGGGCTCAAACTCCGCTGCATCCATCCCGCTGGGTTTCATCTGTGACCACGCGTTCGCATGCCCACGCGCACGCATATACAAGATGATATTCACCATGAGTGTTGTGAATGTAATGCTATGTAACGTAACGTAACGCAATGCAATCTAATCTAATCTCATGTACTCGAATGAAGCCTAATGTAGTGGAATCTAATCTAATGCAATCTAACCTAATCTAATGTTGTAATATACTGTACTCTTAATTTATGTAATGTAACGTAACGTAACGTAATGCAATGTAACGTAGTGAGAGAACAACCGCTTGGAGTCTTGCAACCCATTTCCTCAAGAGGTCTGCATGAAAACATGACCCGGTCTTGGAGAGGAATGGAAGATGCGCATCTTAAGATTCTCAAACATTTTTGCTCGATGGATGTATGCGCCTAAGTTACCAGATTCTAAGATTGGGTTATTTGCATAGTGGACAAATATATATATAATGGAGCTCAACGTGTTGATGAAATGTTATTTCAGACAAGATTGTTTAGGTTGCCCTAAAGTGTTTAGGGGCAACAGAACATGTCAACACTATGACCACTATGCAAGCACATTCATGTCACTGCGTTACAAGTGGCTCAAGTGAGCCCGAATAACGCAGTTTTTCTTTCGTCCCAGCCCAGTCGTTGTCTGTCCCGCCCTCTTCAGTACCAAATCAAGTGATTTGGCTTCCACGGACACGTGTCCTTTCTTTATCGACTCCACATTGTAGCCATGCCCAATGTTTCCTTTCAATGTCTCCTGGCACCCATCATATTGGCTGAATGTCTACATGCACGCCTTCAAGATTCGATCGCCGTGCTTACCAGCATTTTGGATGACACTCCAACTGCACATCAGCCAGTTCGATTAGCTCTCATCGAAGGTCTTCGCTTTTTAGAAGACGCTGCGCACCAACTCCGCTTTTGTCGCCTTGTTCTGATGTTGACCATCCAACAGAACTTATCCCGACACATCCGTGTCAATCACTCCTTACCAGCCATCGAAGACCTCGATGATAGCTCAGATTCCGAACCTTGAAAGCCTACCCGGCCGTTCGAGCCGCGAGACAAGTGTCTGAGCTTTTACCCCTCTTGTGACATGTTCTTAAAACAATCCAAGGCAGAAATAAATATATATACATACACAATATGTCACGGACAGGAACAAGGAAGCAAAGGCAGAGGGAAAGAGGTTCAATCAGATACTTGCAGATTGAGTGGGCCACTTTGTATTTGGCAAGTAGGGTACTAAGAGCGTAATGTTGACGCTGGTATGCTAGGATGTCCGGGGGAGGGTTGTGGAATGATTATGGTGCATGCGAGCTAGAATATCATGGTACGCTGCTGTTAGCGTGTTAACAACATCGAATGGTAGATTATTTCAACTCAAAAACTGACACTCAAAAGGAAAGGTCGCGCCACATATTCTTTCAATACACATCTCTCTTTGCCAAAATTAGCTTTCGTCCCCTTCCCTTTGGCCTCAAATTATTTCTAATGCTTTATGTAGAGGTGTTGTCAAAACTGGTGCCGCCAGGAATTTGCAACCGTCTCGCAAGAGCTGAGGAAAGTAAGTCAGGAGGTCCGCATTCTAATGCTGCGAATTGCCGCGTTGTGTTTCCACAGTGTTTTCATAGTCAGATAGTCAGATAGCTGGCCTCTTTGCATCAAAATTCAGATGGAGCTCCACTCTGCAGGATGATCGGTTGGAGGCCAGACCAACAGAAGCTTTCAGAGCCGGATATCGCTTCAGGGTAACTAGCAGTGGCTACACTGAAGCAGAAGAAAAGCAGTGGAAATGCGCAAATGCCCATTCAGAACTTGAAGATCAGTGATTTGTGTGTGTGCAAGGTCCTGAGATCAAACATGCGCGTTTATTATGAAAGATGTTAACAAATGTTGCAATGCAGAAAATGTGCTGAAACTCAATGTGCCAATTATGTGCAAGCAGTTTGGGCAGATGAGATCAGCGAAGCAAACTAGCACTAGACACAGATAGGAGACCAGGGATGCAGACAAAGCAAAGGCTGTAGGCTCTCTCAGTCATGTAGGCGGAACAACCAGAACTAAAAAGCAGGTAAATATGCGAAACAGTATGAGACTCACGCAGTTTTACAAGAACAAAAATTGTGCCCTGTCCTCGAGGAGAGATTGGGCACAAAAATGGATGAAGAAGAGGCTCTGTGAGATGCCTCTTTTGGTGTAATTTCTTGCGCTTTTTTGAGAGCACTCAAAGATCTTTGAAACTTTGAATCTCTCTCTCTCTATATAGATATATAGATACTGACCGATACTGACTCAGAGTCTGCTTTGGTGCCATCTAATGGAAGTTCATCAAGTTTGCACTGAAGTTTGCTGGCATTAAAATCACTGTTTTCACATGTTTTCACTACTTTCCACTTTACTGTACCAGTCTATTTTAGTGCTCGGCAGTCGGAAGTCTGTGCAAGCTGCTGTGATGAAACGACTGCAGAAACCTGAGCGATCGGGTAGGTTCCATGTTTCAGTCCTTGCTGTTCATCCTCCGCCAGGCTTTAGATGGCGACATCGTAGAGGCCAGGATGCCATGTGAACACCCCTAAGTTTGGCGAAACAAAACTCGCACAAAGTTAGTCTCGGACAAACAGATTGTCCCTGTGCTTTTCAGTAAAATATTCGTTTAAATCACATGTTTCTTCGTGGCCAAGTGCCAAAGCTGCTTGGTGAGTTCCTTAGCCATGTTGGCGTTGGACTGGAGACCGGCTTATTTTCTTTGGCCTTTCCCTTTCCCCAAGGGTTTGCCACAACTTATTTTGTGGAGTCTCTTTGAAAAGCTGTGTTTATACAGTTGTGACCGGTCACCTTTGCTATGCCCAAATGCCTTGAGCTGTGAAAAACAAGGCCACTGGAGATCCATAGTCTAAAGTCTTCATGGCATGCTTCACTTTGGGCTTACCAAGTTTTGGTAGATCTGAACATACAAGAAAAGTCATTAGCTTTGTCAAGCATCCCAGTATGGAGATTGTGAAGTAGATTGATGCAGATAGAATGTGGATGCCTGTAACTATACACGATTCGGCCAAGGATGCGCAGTACCGCTTGCCAAGGTGTCACTGGATCAGCTCACACAGGCCGCAACACCCTTCGGACGATATAGTGGTTCCGAAGACTGAATAACTTCCTGAGCTGTCGATTACAGTCGATTACTGTGGATTACCGTGTTCTTCCCCTAGGGGCTGATAAAGAAGTGTCTAAGTAGATGGGCAGGCCCAAAATGCGGAGTTTGTTCTCAGCGAATTTGCCATTGTCAGCGCATTGCAATTCAGCTGGTGTGACGGTGTGACATTCTTTGGTAGACATAGGACCTGACACTGCAGGCACGTGTGTGCGAATTGTACCAGGAGTCAGCGGTTGCAATGAATGAAGCAGCTGCAGATTGAGGGCATTTGAATGATTTGAATCGAAGTGTCAGCAATGCGACCTCCGAACATCCGTGCACTTTCTTTGGAAAATCATACCCCCATATGCACGTTCCGACTTTTTCGACACAGAAGGACGGTACACTTGCTGAAAGTATCTGTCATTAAACAAAAGTTGCGGACCAAGAACAAGGGAATTCTGAAAGCAGCTTTTCTGAATTTCTTTTTTGTAACGAAGGACCGCGCGCCAGTCAATTATTGGTCGGCCACGCATGAGATGCTGCCTGAACCTTGGTGTGTACGATTTTGACGAAGGTTCGGAATGACATAATAGACAATTTATGACGATTTGACAATAGAAATGTGACAGAATAGTTACTGCATGTTACTGTACAAGTAATTGGACGATGTTTGGTGACCGTCAGCGTTTTGAAAGCGTTGTGCTGCTTTGCCTTTTCGACCAGCTCTGGATTGATTTGGTCCACTGCAACACCCTTTCACATTTTCACAACTTTCCCTGTTGGCGACATATCTGTCAGGATGCAAGCTTTCGTTTGTGGCGCAGCCACCTGGGATGAAAGCAACGAGCAACTTGGCTTATTTTGGTCTCTTCCACCTTTTCTGTCCAAGTGACCAAAGTGACCACAACAGCACAAGCGAATTCGATACCCGACAAATGTCAACGCTAATGAATTCCGAGTCTGGATTTTCAAAACGTGTCCACAAGCTTTGACGAGACCTCAAAAGGCTGTAAAGGCGCTCTTTGACATCTCTGGACCTCTCTTGACTCATTTCACGCATGGACTTTCTTATACTTCACGGCCAAGGGACATCCCCACAGTCGTCATTGGCAGGGCAAGACAGATGATAAACGGATAAACATGTTGGTAATTGTTGGTACGACAATTTCTCTCAGTTGGATGTGGGAATTATGCGCAGGACATTGTGCGTTTGCAAGTCTGTAAGGTATGGATGGGCATGTACCAGTGGTTCATGGTGGTGCAATCTTGAAACCAGTGTAGCCCAAGTAGAACCCTCAGGTGTGCTTTTGATGGACTAAGGCCTCACTATGATGTGCTGGTGGGGCCGCGAAAGCAGCGTAGAGAGCAAGTCTCCTGTCGCTTGCTGTCACCTGCTTTCAAAGGCGAGTTGAGCGACTTATGGAAGACGTGTTGATGAAAAACACTGAAAAAACATGGAAAAAAAGGAACACACACACACACATGTACAGGGGAGCACGTTGGGGATGACGGATCGTCTCATTTTTTCAACATGTAGCAGGTCGGTGTCAAGCACGGTGCGAGCTCCTTACCCGGAGTTCAGCAAAAGAACATCGATATTTCGACGAACTCTATACGTTAATACTATACGTTGTATTTTCTAGTGCATTGTCAAGGGCTCACTCGGCTCATTTTTACTTGATCGTTTTTCCATGTTTTTCCCCAGACAGCATCCTGTTGTCCTCAATTCTTCCTGGAGATGTCTTCGCCCTCCGGCTCTGTGCCTTCTCAGCGTAAATCTTCTTCGATTTGCTGCCCATTCCCGTTTTTCGTCTGATCATGGTTTGTTTCCGGTTTGTCTCCCAGTCCCTTCATTTGTTCCCCATCATTTGTCTCCATTTCCCTTCACTCGCAGATGGTTCAGGGTTTGCGTTCTCGATTCTTTCTGAAGACTCAAGATATGTCCCGTGTGGATGGTGATTCCTGAGTTTCCGACTTATTATCTGGTTTAACGTTTTATTTATTTGTTTATTTCTCTGCCACCATTTTTCCCAAGTTCCATGGTCCAGGTTTCGGGTTGTGGCAGTCGCCCATCATTTCTTTACCATCATTTGGTAAGATTGTTTGTTAGGATCACTGGTGTTGTCCTGGTCTCTGGCTTGTTTACATCCCCTGATATTTCTCCAAGGTCACTGGTGCTTGTCTCCCTGTATTGGCCTCCAACATATATAATATATAAATATATATATATAAATATATATATATAAATATATATATATATAAATATATATATATAAATATATATATAATTTTGTATTAATCTGTCAAGGTCAGTGGTGGTGTCTGGCTTTGGTTGCAGTTGTCTTGCATTATGTGTCCTCAAGGTCACTTGGTGCCTGGGTCAGTAAGGTGTCTCGATTTCTTGCTTGATTTTTTACCCTTTAAATTGCTTACCAAAGTGATTTGGAGAATGTTCATTTATATATGTTACAAAGAATCACAGCCTTTCCAATGCAATTCTTTTACTTGCCATTTTGTTCTCGGGCACATTTTTTCTTGAGTTCTTGCTTGGTTGAGTTGTCAAACCGCCTCTTGCCAGTCACGCAAGAAATGTCGCAACATGTCGATTTTTTCAGCGCATTGTTCTGAATCAGACGGCGAGACCGTTTTCTATGATGAGGCGAGAGTCAGAATGAGTCAGATGGTTTCACTAACAAAAAACACATACACTGAAACGCCGCAAACACTGCTGACTGATGTGGCAAGACTGCATTCATTGACTCATATTTTTAGTCGAATAACATTATGTCTAGACTTGTCTGATGGGTTGTTCATCTCATGTCACACCGAATATCTGCAGCAGCTTCTGAAAGGTTTCACTTCTGGAATGTTTCTCATGGAAAGTTTTGTGTTCGATTATGTTAAAACACTATATCGACTATACATCTACCTCTAGAGCTGTGAATGTTTGGATGATGGGCTTTCTGGATGCTGCATATGTGTTTCATTGTGTTTCTAGATTCAAAAGCCCATGGCAGGGTGACAGAGAGAAGAGGACATGGGCGGTGCATTTTGTCCTATCTTGATCGCTCTTCCGATTCTCAGGTTTTGTGCACATAGTCATAGTATGTCATAGTTTTGTACTGGTGCCTGTGGCATCCTGTGGCATCTTGTGGCAACTGCTTGGGAGAGTGACAGCATTTTTCATCAAAGATACGTAGCCAATTTTTGCCGAGTCATGCTTGTATTCACAGGTACCCAGGGGATTTGGCTAGACTAGTCGCAATCAGAACTTCCTGGTTAGTTGCAAAATACTTGCAAGTATATACCTGCATCTTCAGATACTTTATATGTCCAATACATTTCTAGTAGTTCTTGTCGAAGCTTTTTTCGAATTTTAGTTCCAACTCAGTGCAGCAACTAGAGGTTGCCTTCAACTTCCTCCAAACTATGAATAGGTAAGATCCACAGCTGAAGCTTCGTTGCACTTCGGCGAAGACTCGGAAACGTCTCTAAAGCTTGGCATTGATGCCGGTCTCGATCCCACGTGTGCTACAGATCTGCAATAAAGGATATAAAGGGATTCTTCATGAATCAGTTCTGCCGAGACGCACACTTCCCCTTGCAGCCCCGGCCTGATCATGCCATGACGTGTGCCATGATGCAGCAAAAGATCTGTATTCATGCCTGGTTGCTGTGTTGCTCATGAGTCATGGCTAGCTCCTTTGCTTTTTAGGATTCCACGAAGGATAAACCCCCTAGAGGAAAATGAGGAAAGCGAGTAGATTTATGTAGAAGAAACGGCTTCGAGTACCCACGATTCAATGGACTCAATTTTCTTCATGTAGCGGCATGGTGACATTTTCAGGAGGTGGCGGAAAGCTTTAGTTGCCCAAGTGGTCCATGCAAAGGTGCGCACTGGGAGGGAACCTCAAAGGTCGGTTGTTTGAAGATAGGCCAATTTAGGCATTGGCCAACTCATGGACAAAATCAAACGCACTGGTCTTAGGACCTTGGACACCTTGGACATCTTGGACATCTTCAACGTATGCCACAATGTATATCAATGTATGCTAACTCGGAGCCTTGCAATGAGTCGAGGCGAAGCCAATGCCTCGCTGTGAATTTGCCCTGAAGGCTATAGTCCAAGTCCATGACATGGAGCCGGAGCCTGTAGACTTGGAACAAAGTCTGACCACGAGTTCTGCGCTACAGAAGCGTCGGGTATCTCAGGGAACTGGAAACCGGTGACGGTGTGTCAGCAATTTGATGAAACCCCATGCAGACCTGGACGAGCCAATTCTATGCCGTTGATGCAAGACTCACAGTCAAAGTTTCAGAAACGTCAAGTTGTTTGACTGATCTTGTTTCATCTTGTGATAGATGCTGTGAATGAAAATAGTCAAGACCAAACCAGTAGAGAAGCGTGATTCGAGTGGGAAATATCTTGCTTTCCAAGCAAGTTAGCAAGAACAGCTGAGCTTAGAGAAAACCAAGAAACACACCAATGCCACATTGCAAACTTTTGAGTGTAGGACTTCGGAAAACTTCAAGCGAAGCTGTCCATAGAAACTATAAACTCGACTCACAGCCTCTAAGCAGAATTCCACACCAGCTGATTTTGGGTTGTGATTGCTGGAGAAAGAGGACCCAAAACAGTGAAATATTCCACTCAGGTAACACGCCAAAGACCAAGGACGTTCCTTTCAATAGGCGCGGATGTGATTGGGCCAGAGAGACTAGACACAAACAATAAAACAAGACATCATAACAAGACCAACAGACAAACAGCGAAAGTAAGAATTGCAGAGCACGTAAGCCTCACATGCCGTAAGGTCTAGTACCATGTACTGCCATACAGCTTGTGATGCTTGTGAGCTTTCATAGCTTTTCATACTGGAGCTTGGGTCTGTCGAAAACGCAAAGACGGTCAAAGAGGCTAGAGATGCTATAAGATGCTGCCTATGATAGAACAAAGCAGCATAAGCAGCAATGATTGTTTGCAGTTATAGGCGCCATCAGTTCTGTGGTCCAAACCGCAGCCTCCACCGCCAGGGTTTGCAGAAGGTTTGTGAATCTTGGCAAGATTGATATAAGATGACTGTATCATTTGAAGTTAATCAAGCTGCTATTCGCTGGGGATTCTCATCGGGCTCATCTGATCCTTTGCCCAACTCTCGGTTCACTTTGCCCAGGACGGGTAGGACTGTTCTTGTATACACAGGACAGGGGGTTCAGCTTCGTGGAATTGGAGGGCCATCCTACACATGTTGGATTTTTGCTTCAACGCTTCGGATGTGAGTCAGTTGCATGTTGGAACCAAACATTATACACATGTACTGTATGTCTACCTCTCTCTCTCTATATATATACACATACACTGTATATGTAGATAGATAAATATATAGATAAGGTGCATGTCCTTAGTTGATCTATGTGAATACAGTTGAGCTTGGCATAATTGGACGTGGGCGTAATTTTCAGGTCTGACACAAGATCTCTAGACTAGAATCTCTGTGCTGAGTACCAAAGCATAAACTTGCTGTGTCGAGTCGCCCTGTTGTTTGATGTTGCTTGAGTGCACTTCAAACAGTTTGCATCACGTCAGTTTTGGACTCTATTTCCGTCGAGAGACTTTATAACCCAGAGTAGAAAAAGTATCAAACAGAGCATCCAACAGTGACTTTGAGCTGACAATGCAGGAGTTGAAGAGGGATGGCAGCCAGCAATCGTCAAGCAAGTCGAAGACTTCAGTGACGAGTTCCTTGCAGTCTAGCGGGCCATACACGCTTTTTTGCGCTTCAAAACCGGTATCCTCACTTTTTGGGAGCTGACTCTCTGAGTCATTTAGTTTGTTAGCTTTGAACATGCAAGTGGCTACATTCCATCTTGATATGTGTCTGGACTCCTGGACCCAGCTTCTGATACCCTGAACTGCACCCCAAAGGCCCTAGTGCATTGCTCCTTTGCACATGACAGCATTTGTCCTCTTTCATAGACGGATAGCAGTTCTCCAGATTTTTCCCAGAAAACAAGATTTTCTGCTGCTTGAATACTTTAGCATGTTTGGCACAGGGATTCTAGAAAGCATCCCGGAAAAGGCTCCATTTCAAGATGGTATCAGTTTGATAACGCAAATTTTTGATTAACATACCATCCGTCCACTTGTGTTGGTACTCCACTGCGCGATGCACTCTACTTTGCCTGCTCGTAAATGATGTCAAATGCTTACTATTGCACAGCATGAATAATGTCAGGTTTGTCTAGTGGGTCGTGGTGACTGTGGTTATTGCTGCCATTTCACTTCCATGCGGTTTGATGAATGATTTCCCATGCCACATCAAAAGCTGCCCTGTGCTATCATTTATAGTCGTATTTCGAAGAAGTCGGCTATAGGATAGCCGTGAGAAAGGGCTGTCAGGAAAGAGAAAGATACGTCAAGAGAAAGAGATGACAAGAGAAAGAGATGACAAGAGAGCATTCTCCCACTGCACTGGTCGTCTTGGTCGTCTTGCACACGTCCTATGGGCACATTCTTATTTTTGCCCTGTACCTCCTTACCTCCTCCGGCTTGCCCGGGCACCTGCAACGCGAACCTTTTTTTTCCCCCTAGGTCATTGCAATTGTTCCATCATGTTGCATGATTGACAGTCAAATTGTCTGCTTTGGTCATTGCCATTCAGTTTCCACTTTCACTGCAAATGAATTCAATGGTAGTGCAGCTGTATTTACACTTTGTCGTAGCGAAAACTGATAGGTTTTCACCGCGGGACTTGACTACAATCGAGGTGCAGCAGCAGGGCAGAGTGCACGGTCATAAACAATGAAGACACAAACAAAAGTGCAAGAAGGGATGCTGTACAAGAAGGGATGCAGGATACTGGCTGTGGCGGCTACGTTGGTGCAATGATAGTTTGATTGTGTTTGATTTGTGGGCATGAAGGATGTCTGGATCTCAATGGGAATCCAGCTCCGTTCATAGCCTACAGGGCCTACAAGTTCTTTTGGTTCTAACGAGCCGGATGCGATTTCTATGAACTGCGTCGGTTATTGTGCAGGGACTTTTGTTTTTCGTATTGGGTCACCCAAGAGCAAACACAAAAAACTCAAAAACGAACGAGCCATCCATCTACCCAAAAGTGTTTGACGAGAAGTGCATGGTGTTGCTTTTGGCAAGCAGTTTGTTGGGCTGCTGAAACTCTTTTGGTTAATTTGCAGCCTTCGTGCGAATAGCCCAGGCAAGGTCAAGTTTTTCACTAAGAAATGCGTCAGCAGACGTCTGAGACAGAACATACAAGAGGGGTGGGTCGACAAATGAAAACGCATGAAACCTTGAAGATATAGGTGTGGGCTGTGGGCATCTCAGATGAGAAGCTTCGCACTTGGAGATAAATGAGCTAAACAATCACTATGTAGAGTAAAAGGAGATCTTAAACTGACTAATGCCTCCGAAAGCAAAAAAGGTGAAAACCGCACGAAAGCCAAGGTGAAAATTGCTGTTGCGAGAGTTTTGCGAAGGTGGATATATGTTTCATAATGTTTCTAGATTAACTAAGATATCATGTTCCCTCAAACACAGGGGGAGCTCTGCGAAAATGATTTCTTGAAGGTTCATCACACGAAAGCCACGGCCTCATTCGCGAAAGTCTCGCGACAAGTTCTTGCAAAGGTTCACTCTGCTAGCCGGTGCTGGAGGACTTTGAACACCTTTCAAATGCGATCAACCACGCAATCACTCAGTCACATAATAGTTTCAATCGCTCAGTCGCTACATCCCTGAATACGTTATCTCTGTCCTGCCATTTTTGGACGTTGGGTACCTATGAAACACTGAGATTTTTCGGGTACAGCGGTCGGGTGAAAGGTAGTAAGAGTGGCTGCGGCCTGCGGCTCCAAGAATCGGTGTTTCTGCGGGCACCTTGTGTAGCCAAGATTCCCTTGCCGTCAGTCGATCTGAAAGTCCATATTCGTCCTTCAGTCCTTTAGGCACTCGGTATACCCCCGTCACCCATTGTATTGTGCAATCATTTCTTCACTTGTTCAATCATTTGTTCAGCCCTTTATAGATACACGTGTCATTCATGCATACCTTCAGCCTTGCCTTCACTTATCGTTCATGCGTTCATTCATTCAGGCATTCAGCCAATCATCCAATCAATCACAGTCAATCGATCATTCAGTATTGAACCATACTATATAAACCATCCAATTACGCGTGGAAACAAGGTAACTGGTTGATTTGGCGCTCTTGGAAGGGTCACCGATTATGTTTTTATGATCTTGGTGTTTTGGAAAGACAATGTGGTATTTGTGTGAGCCGGCAACTTTGGTGTAATCAAAGGAAGTTTAGAAGTCAAACTTCCGACAATATGGACAGATGAAAAGCAGACATGGTAAGAGTCAGAGAAGAGAAGAGAAGAAGAAAGAAGATCAAAAAGAGAAAGTCTCCGAAGAAAGAAGATCCAGGTGCCAGAAAAGGTAGGAAAGTCGCGAAACACTGTGTTTTTCCAATGATTTGTGGCTCCGGAGGGTCGAAAAGTAGGCTCGCTAAAGCGGCTGGTGCGGAGCCATGTGGTCAGATGAGAGATGAAAAGTTGCACGTCCTTGTGGCGCGAAGCAGCTCCGGAGCACTTTTAGAAGTTGAGATGTCAAAAAAGCGCACGCCGTTGTAGCGCGAAGCACATTTCGAAGTCAAAAGTGTTAAAAAGTCACGGGTACGGAGCAGTTTTGCACGTTCGGATGTCGTTTTGCGTGGCAGGCACAAGGGATTAAGCACCTTGCCAAAAGTGAGCAAAACGTGAGGTTTTTGTAGCAGTTTCAACTACAACCACCACTACACTACACTCCACCTCACTACACTACAACTACCACTACAACTACAACTACAACTGCAGCTACAACTACAACTACAACTACAGTACATAACACTACAGTACACTACACTGCATTAACTACACTACACTGCACTACACTAAGTACGTTACACTACACTACACCGCACTACACCACACCACACCACACCGCAATACACCACACCACACTGCACCACACCACACTACACTAGTTACATTACACTACACTATTCTACCCTACACCGCACTACACCACACTACACCACACCACACCACACTACACTACACTACACTAGACTACACTAGACTACACTAGACTACACTACACTGCCCTACATTTCATTACGCTACACGCATTACACCGCCACAAATGAAAGCGCGACTGCACTACACTAATTACACTACGCCACAACTACAACTCCACTACACACACTACAACTACAACTGCAGCTGCACTACACCACACTACATCCAGCAGTTGTGGGTGAGGTGACCGACCAGGTGACCACTGCAACCGTTGTAACCACTCCAAAAAACACAACTCCAACCACCTTTCAGTCCATCAGTGAATTCGCTTCGCCATCCGTGATTCACAACAACCAAGCTCTCCTATAGGCTTCCTATTCTGAAACTTCCGCCACCGCCTTGTGCGGCACTACTGGTAAACAAATACAACTTGATTTCGTGTGGCCAGCGCGTGATTTGGATATGGATTTGATGGTTTCATTTAGGCGAAATGTTCGTCTATATCACTTTTCCTTCAACAAAAATCTAGATTTTGAGGATGTCGATTCGTGGATGTATGCGCTTGTCAAAGAGGTTTTTTTGATCATGTCCACAGGGCTGCGCTCAACGCAGCTTTCAGGTCATTGCCCACCCCATCCGTGACATAAGACATCTCTTCATTGCCATCCCATCCAACCCCAACCCCACCCGATTTGCTTCGTAACACATCTTCAGCGTAGCATAAGATCCAATCTCAAGGTGCCTCCATTTCCAGCGTAGTGTAAGATCCAATCTCAAGGGGCCTCCATTTGACAATCCATGAACACTCATGGACAAGATAAAGTGTAGCATTCACCAAATTTGCAACCCTTTCAAGGGCGCCGTATCAAGCGAATGCCACAAACGGAAACAACCCTTCCTACAGGCACTTTAAGACTTTGTTTCCTGTAGCCAATTTACCTTGCCCAAACTTTCCAGCTGGCACTATATGATACTAACGAATGGCATGTCTGCATCACCTGCATTACAAGTTAGCGGCGCTTTATTGATGAGGTACTCGTACTTGCAAGAGGTACTTGCAAGAGATATTTGCAAGAGACCTCCAGGAACGCATGACGTGAAAAAAACATCAATGCATGAAAGGCGCCCAGATAGTCTTTGTGCATAAAGTTCAGGTCATCTGCAAAGGGAACGTAAAAACTAACAGTTCATGTGGCAGGCGCGAACGAAGTCCTTTGTTGTGTTGATGGGCTAGTCAAGAGATGCAAAGATGGCTGTTTCCGCTCGCGTAGCATTCCCTCTTTGCTGCATACAGTACTGTCAAATCTGGTGTAGCTTGATTGAAGGCTTGCTGTCCTTCCCTTGCGTTTGGGATGCTTTGGAATGTTTGCGGTCGCACGTCACCGGTTCAACCCCTTGCGAATGTCTTGGCGTAGTAATGGCATAGTATGACCCTCGTGAGACTCTCATGTCAGGTCACTCCAGCAGCCGGAGGTGATTCAGCATCTCGGCGCATCCAACTACATCTCACCAGTCGTTGACCACGGTTGCTTTGTCCCTAGAGACAGGACGCAGGGTGATGAAACAATCCCAAGATGCTTTGCGCATTTGGCTCCCTCTGTCCACCTGGTCATGGTGGTTGAAGTATCCATGGTCACACCTTACGGCTCCAAAGGTTAGATTCGGTTAGATTGTTCCTTTGCTTTGGTGAGCATCCTGCTCTCAGCCAATGCATTGTGGGTGAAATGTTTCCAGGACCCACCACAACCATCTCAATCACTGCTGCATTATACTATGGCTGTGCCATTGCTGACGCTGATGGTATATCAAATACTTCCACTATCAATGATGTTATAGGTCAGGATATAGTGATGCTAAACCTGGTGATAACAATGCAGAGTGTGGTGGTGGTGGTGGTGATGATGATGATGATGATTATGCTGATGCTGATGCTAATGCTGATGCTGATGCTGATGAGGAGGAGGGGGAGGAGAAGATGACAAAGACAATGATAGCTCTACTGCTGCTGCTGCTGCTGCTAGTTTAAGAGCTGCTGTTTGGTTCGTGCTGCGAAATCCTGATTCACTGCTTGAGAAATGGTTGATCATTGGCTTCGGGCTAGCAGAGGCTCAGAAATCAAAAGTTTGATGTGGCAGCTTCATGCCATCCAGTTTTGCAACCATCCAGTGCGTGCCAAAGGTACCCGTGCAAACCTGCTTCGTCCAAAACACCGAGGACCGGATTCTAGTCCCAGGATCCTTGGAAAGGGAATCAGCATTGTGCAGGGAGGGTAAATTTGACTGTGATGTGAAGAAAGTCAGTTGACGAAACAGCCTTGCAAAATCACATCGTTGGTGGGATTGAGCTTCTGGGACGCTGCAGGACGATGAGGATGATGATGCTTTCTCGTGTTGAAAAGCTTCACCACGCGTAAAACGCGTCAGTGAAGATTTTTTAGGAGGTATCTCGCGGTGGCGCAGACGTCTCAAAGTAGACACTCTGCGTAGCTAGGTCGAACGTGCACAGGCTCTCAAGTGCGGGGCAAAACTGCGCTTTCAACCTCTCTGAACTAAGCTGGGTTTGACCGAAGTAAATACACAATGCATCGGGCACAGGTGTGAGACGAATGCGTTTGGGCTGCTGATAAGTGCAACTGTTGTGTCTTTCATATTGGACAGGAGGGTGCTATCGGGCAAAATGGGTAACACGCCGGAGAAAAACTGAAACCACGCACAAAAACATCGTTTCCACGTGCAGTCACAGGTGTCTTGATTACTGTGTCTTTTTTGTTGATTGCAAGAGTTTTTGTGTAATAAATAGGTGATGTCAGAGGAATGCGTGCGTGTTCGTTTGTTACTGGTGACATGTTTTTGACTTTCATGTTGCATCCTGCCTTCGATATGGAAATTACAGTTTCCGATGCTGTGGGGTGAAAATATTGACATTACTGTAATGGAACTGATGTCCAGTAAGACTTGATGTTGGTGCCTGAACAGTATCATTTCACAGGTTTGGAACACAACATGCTTCATTTGGAAAACTGTCTGACAACAGGCGGCACTTCAGTTCGGGAATTCCAGTGGATCTCGTATTCTACAAAAACAAATCTCCCATTTTTCTTCGGCTGTGGTGCCTTTGGGAGAAGATTTGCAATGATGTTGTGATTTAAATCCCTGCGTCACGATCTGGACATTTCCACATGATGCGTTGACACCTGCCAAATGATATGTTTAGTGTTTGCTTTTGTGCAACCCAAACCTATTTCTTTGGAAACATATTCTGTGCGTTTGGCCTTCGACCAAGAGGTTTTGACTCTGCTGGAATTCTGGAGCTTGGTATCACTGCCTGGTTTCACTTGCCTTTTCAGCCCATGGGGCTTTTGCTTCCGGAGCTGCCCTAATAGTTTACGGCTTGCTATGCCTTCATGGCAATCAGATTCAGACGAGCTGGGCACACATTGTGAGTCTATTTCCTGTTTCACGTCGGTATTCCAATTGCTTGAAATAGTCTATGCCACCTGCCTTCTCAACACTTCATGTGCAAAAACTGGCAAGATACTTCTTCGCATGCCTTCGCAACCCTTGGAACACGGGAATTTAGGACGCATACCCTCGCAGTAAAAGTCAGGAAGTATACCCCGTGCCAAAATCTTGCATCCCCAACATGGTGATCAGTCCAATCGCATGCAGTGACATGGTATTTGCATTCATCTCTGTACTCGTTCATTGCTGTTGGACAGAACCAAACAATTACGCTTCCGAACCTCCATGAGTTAATACAATCGATGGATTTGTTTGTCAGTCTCTGCAAGCTTTCCAAACTGGTTTCGATTCTGGTACATCATAATATCAAGGATAGTCATGATAGTAATAGCAATGATAGTAATGATAATGATATAACTATTTCGTATTTTCATGACGTGCTTTAATTTTCAAACTGCAGGTGTTACCTAGATGTGTGCATGTGGCCTTGGGGTATTGATGGCTCAAGTTCAAACTTACACTGAACGCTGAAGTGGTCAAGCAAAAACACTTGATGCGCAGAATAGAGTCTTGATTTCGGACATCAAAGACTCAAAGATTTTCCTTTTTTGAGAAATAGCATGAACTAGCTAATTTTAAGTCTCGATATCATTTTGAACCCTTTCAGTTTAACCTTCATTGTGTCTCTTTGTGTAGCTTGGCCTGGGGCTTAGACCACTTTTAGTAAGATTTGTTTGCTCCAAAGTCGGAGACATAAAGGTAAACGTGTTTGAGATGATGCTGAGGAAAGATGGGTCATGTCGTGTGGAACATAGTGCGGGACCGTTGCCCTTTTTCCTGTTTTGTGACAACACCAGGAGCGCATGGAAAGCATCATTTGCAGGACTTGAACTTGTTCCTCGTCGTGGTATTTATGATTGAGCAGTTGCCAGTGAACGAGCTTTTCCGCGAAACCTTCCGCAAAATAGCAGGGCTCTTAGTGGCTTTTACTGTAGTAGAGCTGAGGCTGCAAAAAGACAATTTGATTGAAGCTATTTTGGGGGACCTATGGTGATGATGGTTTGCTGGGCGTTGCCAACTTCAAGAAGAATCACAACTTGGACTTTTGTGACAGTGTACTGGGCAGAAAATGCGCTTTATGCACAATGAGTTTGATTTTTCAGTAGACTGAGATGACTGAGCACTGAGCCCCTTCAGATGATCGCCATCATGATCGCGGTGATGATGTGGAGATTGTTTGGCAACCTTTTTTTCGAGTCATCGCCTGTGGGAGGCAGTGGGACATAGTGGGACCGTGGACAGGACATAATGACAAGCTATGGTAAGCGACGACAGACTCATCCATTGGGAGTTATATAGCATTATATAAATTATATAGCCATTATAAGGCTTATCATTATTGGATGATATTGGATGATATTGGATGACCATAAATTGCCATAAACACTCCATAAACCATGATAATTTCAATCTGCAGCATGGGAAGTCCCCATTGGTGCGATCTATGCAGGTGCTCGAGTTGGCGGGCCGCTACGTCAAAAGAAAACTGAAGGACAGACCACTAGACAAAACTAACTCAAGATTTGATTCATATATATAATATAATATATATATAAGTATATATATAGATTCATTCTTTTGTTGTATACATATTATATATATATTCATCATGTATTGTATGTAACTAAATAGATATATCTACATGTATGTGTCCCAGATAATATATATATTAAGGGGCTACGCCCCCTGCCGCCGACCCCAGGCAGGGTAGCTTGAGGCGGCGGGCGGGGGGCGGTAAACTGCTAAATACTCGTCTAGCTGATTTACCTTGTTCTGTTTTTTCTATCCAATCTTTTGGAGATCCCTATATTTATATAATTTGCCGCCTGTGACGCGTCTCCCTGAAGCACTGGCCAGACTCAACCTGAGGCACCAGGGCCAAGTGGCCAAGAATAGAGACTTCACAAAGGTTATTTGGAAACAAACGCGTGAAGTTTTGAAGATGTGCATATGCATATTACATATATATATACAGTCTATGTATATGTATATATATATATATCCATATATATCCATATATATATATATCCATATATATCCATATAAATATATCCATATATACAAGATATAATATACATAATTATATACATGTGTATCTATGGGTATTTACACTATTCCTGTACTTTTGTTATACTTCCTCTGGTCGGGTTGACCGGAGCCATGAAGTGGCATTCTTCACTGACGCCTTGCTGATTTCCGTTGGTGGATCTGAGCTGGGAGCTTAGAAGAAAGGGCAAAGTGAGAAAGCTGGGCAGCAAGTTAGGGTGTTGTTTTTTATGACGCATGTTTTTGGAAACATTAAAAATGAAAATGATATGTATAGAGAAACCGGATTAGTGATTTTCTTTTTTGGTTCCGGCTGGCATGCTGTCTTTATTTGGCCTTGGAGAAAGCCCACTTGCCATGCTGACGGAGGGAGTTTTGTTTGTAACCGCGCTGCAATCTTTAAGCAAGATCCTTGAATTATCTGAAGGTCACAGCGGTGGGGGGTCCTGAAAAACCCAAGGTGTGGAGCTGTGCATTGATTGAACCCAGCCCGATTGACGTGCCTTTATTTTCGAGCCTGGACTTTAGACCTGACGCGGGCCACATCACAAGTCCCTCACCTAAGTCAGTTGTTGGGATCCAATGAGACGTGGGAAGATGCTCTGCGAGAGTGGCTGCTTCGGTTGCCTTGCGCCGAAACAAAGCGCCACGTGGGTAATTTCTTGTCGGTATATCGTGTCCGGCCCAGCGCGGAAGCAGACGCCAACAGCGATGACGGTGGTGTGGACGAACCATTTACATTGTGTCCAGCCGATGTGGCGGCAGCACTCCGCACACAGTTCCCGGCGCAGAAAGCGAGCAGCAGCAAAGCCGCAAACGACGACCGGGCAATCCGAAGCGAATCGGCCATGAACACAGCAGATCAACTTTGGCAGGCACCGGCGCGACCGCAGAGAAGCTCTGGTGCAAGCACACCATACAGTGCTTTGGATCCGAAAGCCATGCAGCAAGCTGCCCGGAAACGATTCAACGCCGGACCCGCAGTTGCTTCACCCGAACCCAGTTCTGTGACAGTGCACCCGTGTCAAGCATCCGCTGCGGCTGTGCGAACGTGGGCCGCTGCCTTGTCGCATGCACCGTGCAACCCGGAGCAGCGAGCTTTTTGCGAGCTAGTCGCCGCACGCGTGGAAACCGAACTGGCAGCCGGCGCTTCCGCCACGGGATCTGGCCTTGTGGCTTCAGAACCGCTTCGTTGGGTTTTACACGGTGGTCCTGGAACAGGAAAGTCTCACACAGTAAAATTTCTGCGGCAGGATTTGTTCGAAAACGTGCTAGGCTGGCACCATGGCGTTGACTTCCAGATAGTCAGTTTTCAAGCTGTTATGGCTGAACTTCTGGACGGCGACACAATACACCACGCGCTGGGTTTGGACTGGTCGGGCGACAGAACTCAAAGCTTGGCACGGTCCATGGAATGCGCAGGTCGCAGCTTGCAGTGGCGATGGCTAATCTTGGATGAATTTAGCATGGTGAGCGCGGAGTTGCTGGCGCAGTTGGAACTTCGCTGTCGCGAGCTCATGCGGGATCTCAGCTTGGCCAAGTATGATGGCAATGGCAAAATCCGACCGTTTGGCGGATTGAACGTCATTTTGGCCGGCGATGTGTACCAGCTACCACCTCCAAAAGGAACGTTCTTAGCGGACATCCCCTGGGATCTGCTGGCCGGACGGAAAAGCACGAGGCAAGCACCTGGACATCACGGTCAAACGCTTCTCTGGGGCGAGGCAGCAGCAGGGATGCAAGGAGTCACGGAACTGGTGCGCTGTGAGCGCACACAAGACGCATGGCTCGCAGAGGTGCAAACGCAACTGCGCCATGGTGACTTGTCCGACAATAACCATCGCTTTCTGCACGGGCGGCCTACCACAGTGCCAGGCAGCTGGATTGCTGGGCAGGCGACGTGCCAACAACCAAGTTGCGCCGCGTTGCCTACACAAGGCCTAATTCCAGAAGCCATACAAGAGGCCGAATGCAGCTACTGTGCGGCTGATCGCCGTTCGCGCATACTTGTGGCGCAAGGAGCTGCGGACACACGGTTCCAGAAGGAATTTGCAGATGCGGTCGCGATTTTCGGCACCAACGACATCAAATACCACGTGAACAAGCTTCGCGCCATACAGTGGGCGAACGCCAGAGACAAGCAACCGTATTTATTTGTTGCGCAAGATGTTGCGTCGTCTGTGGTCGTGCAGGAGAAGCCGAATTTGACGACGGAGAAATTGCAATGGTTGCAGCGACACGACAAAGAGTGCGGTGGACTGTACGGCGTGTTGCCGTTGTGCGTCGGCATGCCTGTCCGTGCAACAGATCACCTCGACCGGAAGCGTGGCATTCTAAAAGGCACCAAGGGCTACGTCGTCGGTTGGTCCACGATTGCCAATGAGACGCCTGCGCCGGAAGGAGTCGTGTGCAACACTTTGCCGGCCGTGGTGTATGTGAGGTTTGAAACCGCAACCTCATGGCATGTGCCCGGTCTGCCGGATGCAAACGTATACCCCGTCGGAACTTGCAGGCGTGTGTGGTACTTAGACCGGCAACGCCAACGCCCCAAGCTGCGTGTATCGCGGACGCAATTCCCGCTCGCACCCCAGTTCGCCATCACCGCGCATGTGGCGCAAGGACAGACCATCAAAGAGGGGGTGATGATGGATCTTTGTATAGGTCCCACAGGAAATCCCTTCACGGTTTATGTCGCGATCACTCGCGTCACAGGACGCGAAAAATTGTTGATTTTTCGACCTTTTGACGCCGCTCCATTCCAAAAGGGAATTGGTTTGGGCCGAGACCTTCTTCTGCGACACCTTCGAGGGGATTTCATCAACTGGCAATCGTTGTTGGCCAAATACTGCGAAGAACGTCGGTGTGCAACCTGTACGGAACGCAAGCCAGCAGCAGCCTTCACGACCGGTCAATGGAAGCGCGAGGACAAGGATCGCGTCTGTCGCGAATGCACAAAGCACTACGCAGACGCAGGAACGCCGTGGCAATGCAACGTTTGCAAGCTGTGGCATGCCGAAGACAATTTTCCAGCAAAGCATCGTCAACGGCAATGTAGTTTTTTTCGTGCGTGTTTGACATGTGAAGTGAAGAAACCTTGTTTCAAGTGTGGCGTTGTGAAAGCAGAATCCGACTTTGGCGCAGCCGCATGGAAAGCTCGCAACGCGGATCGCCGCTGCTGCAGAGAATGTGCCACCAAACTACGCGGCTGTTGGCAATGTCGCCAGTGCGCGGAACGCAAGCCACGAACAGAGTTTACAGCTTGGCAACAAGGTCGTGAATATACTCAAGACGGCACACAAGTATGCAATGCATGCACAGCCTTTGCCTTCGTGTGTCGTCTTGCTCATCGCACGAATCAACGCTTGGCCCGCTTGCGCCAACGCGAATCCCATCAACGACACGAAGCATTGCTAGCAGACGTTTGCAAGGAGATTCAAAAAATCCACGAGGCTAGACAAACGTCGATGGGAACAGACGAAACCAGAACGGGTGTTGCCCATTCATCGACCCAGCGGCTTGCTGCGGAGCCCGACACAGCGACGCCGCGGGTGTACACATACCTCTGCCCGCATTGCGCCAAATCTGTGCAAAGCACTGTGGCAACAGGGCAAGTCTATCACCGCCGCGGTGATGGCTGCGGCAAAAAATTTCGCGTTGCGAATGGCCTGCTTGCAGGCCGTACACTTGCGCACACATGTCCAACATGCGGCACAGTGGTGCATTCAACAAAAGCTTCCGGTCAAATTCAAATAACGCATCGCACGCCCAACGGAAAGCAGTGTCGCACCGACCGATGGCCCGTGCAGAACTGATCACAAACGGAGCCTTCACCAAACAACAGAACCCTGCGCGCTCGCCACGCCGAAACAGCAAGGCCCTGAGGAAAGACCGGGCCTACGGGCCACGGCCCCCAGTGCCGAACGTAGCTTTCTGCACCTACAAGAAGAGTAACTCTCTTAGCTGTCTTCCAGCCGCCAAGGCTCAAACACGGCGCGCTCGCCACACCGAAACAGCAGGGCCCTGAGGGACGGACCGGGCCTGCGGGCCACGGCCCCCACTGCCTAACGTTGCTTTCTGAACCTACAAGAAAGCTAGCTGTCTGACCTGTCTTCCAGCCGCCAAAGCTCACACACGGCGCGATTGCCACGCCAAAACAACAGGATCCCGAGGGACGGACCGGGCCTGCGGGCCACGGCCGCCACGACCTGTCTTCCAGCCGGCAAGGCTCACACAGGGCGCGCTCGCCACACCGAAACAGCAGGGCCCTGAGGACGGACGGGGCCTGCGGGCCACGGCCCCCACTGCCTAACGTTGCTTTCTGAACCTACAAGAAAAGTAGCTGTCTGACCTAAAACGGCGCCTCCGCCACAGCCAAACAGCAAGGCCCTGAGGAAAGACCGGGCCTACGGGCCACGGCCCCCAGTGCCGAACGTTGCTTTCTGCACCTACAAGAAGAGTAACTCTCTTAGCTGTCTTCCAGCCGCCAAGGCTCAAACACGGCGCGCTCGCCACACCGAAACAGCAGGGCCCTGAGGGACGGACCGGGCCTGCGGGCCACGGCCCCCACTGCCTAACGTTGCTTTCTGAACCTACAAGAAAGCTAGCTGTCTGACCTGTCTTCCAGCCGCCAAAGCTCACACACGGCGCGATTGCCACGCCAAAACAACAGGATCCCGAGGGACGGACCGGGCCTGCGGGCCACGGCCGCCACGACCTGTCTTCCAGCCGGCAAGGCTCACACAGGGCGCGCTCGCCACACCGAAACAGCAGGGCCCTGAGAGACGGACGGGGCCTGCGGGCCACGGCCCCCACTGCCTAACGTTGCTTTCTGAACCTACAAGAAAACTAAGCTGTCTGACCTAAAACGGCGCCTCCGCCACAGCCAAACAGCAAGGCCCTGAGGACGACCGGGCCTACGGCCACCGCCCTCCAGTGCCTAACGTCGCTTTCTGCACCTACAAGAAAACTAACTCTCTTAGCTGTCTTCCAGCCGCCAAGGCTCAAACACGGCGCGCTCGCCACACCGAAACAGCAGGGCCCTGAGGGACGGACCGGGCCTGCGGGCCACGGCCCCCACTGCCTAACGTTGCTTTCTGAACCTACAAGAAAGCTAGCTGTCTGACCTGTCTTCCAGCCGCCAAAGCTCACACACGGCGCGCTCGCCACACCGAAACAGCAGGGCCCTGAGGGACGGACCGGGCCTGCGGGCCACAGCCCCCACTGCCTAACGTTGCTTTCTGAACCTACAAGAAAAGTAGCTGTCTGACCTAAAACGGCGCCTCTGCCACAGCCAAACAGCAAGGCCCTGAGGAAAGACCGGGCCTACGGGCCACGGCCCCCAGTGCCGAACGTTGCTTTCTGCACCTACAAGAAGAGTAACTCTCTTAGCTGTCTTCCAGCCGCCAAGGCTCAAACACGGCGCGCTCGCCACACCGAAACAGCAGGGCCCTGAGGGACGGACCGGGCCTGCGGGCCACGGCCCCCACTGCCTAACGTTGCTTTCTGAACCTACAAGAAAGCTAGCTGTCTGACCTGTCTTCCAGCCGCCAAAGCTCACACACGGCGCGATTGCCACGCCAAAACAACAGGATCCCGAGGGACGGACCGGGCCTGCGGGCCACGGCCGCCACGACCTGTCTTCCAGCCGGCAAGGCTCACACAGGGCGCGCTCGCCACACCGAAACAGCAGGGCCCTGAGAGACGGACGGGGCCTGCGGGCCACGGCTCCCACTGCCTAACGTTGCTTTCTGAACCTACAAGAAAACAAGCTCTCTTCCAGCCGTCAAACCTTCAAAAACGCGCCCTTTCCGGCCGTCACAAACATTCAAAAACGGCGCCTTCGCCAGTCTCAAAAAGGACGGTCCTGAAGGACGGGCCGGGCTTGCGGGCGACAGCCCCTAGTCAGTCCTCCTCTAACGCGCTCCCCCTGCTGGCGGCAGGGGTCGGCGGATATACACATCATGCACGCATATCATATATATATATATAATATTTATTCTGCGACAAGGAGGGAAAAGTCAGAAGCTGGAGTGGGCTGTATGCGAGATGCAGGGGTGGCGAGCAGCAATGGAGGCTGGACTGCATGCTTAAGCCGCGTTGCGAGACGATGAAGTTGCTGCACATCTACCAAGTAGACTTGGGACAGGCGAACATGTATAGAGCAATCAATTTGTTCCCCTTCCCTGATATCCTGTTCAAGTGTGCAGATGTGTGCAGGATGCAACTTGCATTGTGACATCCTTGCCAGAACCCCTTGCAGAGCAGGCAGAAGGGCGCTCATTGCCTGAACATGCAATGCGTGTAATCTTATATGAGTGTGGACTATATGTATATGTATATATATATATATAATAGGTGTCAATGTAGGTACGTTTTGAATGATTTAGGCGCATACATGTACATACACCCGGATAGATGCGCATGCAATACTTTAGTTTGATGGAACGTGAACCATGTGTAAAGATACACATGCAGCGTATGTAAATATACAAAAGGGCACACCAAAATTAAAATAGAGCATGATACAATATGATGTATTGGTACTGTCATGTGATGTGACGGAGTGTCATGAAAGCAGCTCTGGTCCCATCTAATGTAAAGCCGTTCAATCATGTGACATGACATTGAACATCAGATTCATACTTTATTTGTACTTGCATGTTCTTTGTACTCAGTTCCATTCTGCTTGTATACATATGTATATATATATATACACACACACTTGTACAACCAATGCTATATATATATATACATCCGTAGAAAGATATAATACACACATTCTTTATCATTTTTCACATATCTATCTTTGTGCTTCTGGACATGTTGACTTTACATCGCAGAATACCAGATTATGGAACATAACCCATCGCACGATTTACCAAGACCGAGCCATATTTGTTTCTTTAGTTTGCAATCTGATACAGCAGGATATTGTGCCGCACTGTACTTTGGCATGCAGAAGTATCTAATACTTATCCACCCAATACGGGCTAGACAATGATCAAGTCCATTACGATCCCATGAGATTTCATGTCTTGTCATATGACATGACACGACATGACATGAAATGACATGACATTCATGATGAAATTTGCTGCAATATCAACATAACTGCAGAACTTTTATGCCAAAAGTGCTTGCATGGCCCTGTTTGACTTACTCTGGGAGGCGCTTTTTGCAGTTTTTGATGGTCATGGCGGATCACAAGTTTCGCACATTGCTTCCAAAGAATTTCCGAAGGCTGGACTGCATCTTCTCATGTTGGTTTTGCTTGGATTGTTGGAACTTTCCCTGGTTTTTTTTGATGTGCCAGACCTTGCCTGACAAAAGTTATCTCTTGCATGGGTTATACGGATTTTCTGCATTCCAACAAGTCATGATTTTTGGATATTTTGGCGGAGGTGCTCCAAGTGTGTGCAAACAAATTGCAAGACGCTGAGACGGAAGATGAGAAGGCGTGTCATGAATCTTGAGAGTCCTCTGAAATATTAGAAGTGGTTGGGATGTTGAGAAACTCAGCCATGTTGTTTGAAGATATTTGTTCCTTCCAACAATGTGCATCTTCAGCAGGAGCCACAAGCAGAGTTGGAGATTTCTGGGCCTGGAACTCAGAGTGTATTGTGGCCGGACAGAAACTGGAGAAAGTGTGTGACTTTCTAAGTCCCAGATTGTTCCAGCCACTTGAGCAACCGTTTCAACCTCAATCTCCTTCTCTTGGCATTTGTCATTTTGGTCACAAAGCTGGTTGGAAGAGAACTAGCAGGGGCACCATCGGCACCACTGCAGATGCAGCTGTCAAATAGAGGTTGTCTGAATGCATGTTCTGCATTAATCAGAGGATCGTATGCAACATCATCAGCACTCCAAAGAAGTTATCTGTGTGCCTAAAAAGTTTTGCTAAGCTTGCAGCTTGAATGAAGGCGTTCTGAGAGTGCATGCATACCTTTGTAAGGAAACGCTATCCACATCTATATCTATATTCACCCCGCTTCGCGTGGGGTGGCCGCCCACACCGCAGGTTTATTTCGGTCTGTGAGAGGGGCTAAGGGTGGTGTGGAATCACCCCCGTGGAGGCTTCCCAAGCGAGGGAATTTTCGCTTTTCCTCCCCGTGGGGGCTTCCCAAGCTAAGAATTTTCACTTCCCCCCCCCGTGGGGGCTCCCCAAGCTAGGGAATTTTCACTTTTCCCTGCCGTGGGGGCTCCCCAAGCTAGGGAATTTTCACTTTTCCCCCCCGTGGGGGCTCCCCAAGCTAGGGAATTTTCACTTTCCCCCCCCGTGGGGGCTCCCCAAGCTAGGGAATTTTCACTTCCCCCCCCGTGGGGGCTCCCCAAGCTAGGGAATTTTCACTTAGCCCCCGTGGGGGCTTCCCAAGCTAGGGAATTTTCACTTTCCCCCCCCGTGGGGGCTCCCCAAGCTAGGGAATTTTCACTTTTCCCCCCCGTGGGGGCTTCCCAAGCTAGGGAATTTTCACTTTTCCCTGCCGTGGGGGCTTCCCAAGCTAGGGAATTTTCACTTTTCCCTGCCGTGGGGGCTTCCCAAGCTAGGGAATTTTCACTTTCCCCCCCCGTGGGGGCTCCTCAAGCTAGGGAATTGTCACTTTTCCCCTGCGTGGGGGCTCCCCAAGCTAGGGAATTTTCACTTTTCCCCCCCGTGGGGGCTCCCCAAGCTAGGGAATTTTCACTTTTCCCCCCGTGGGGGCTCCCCAAGCTAGGGAATTTTCACTTTCCCCCCCCCGTGGGGGCTCCCCAAGGTAGGGAATTTTCACTTAGCCCCCGTGGGGGCTCCCCAAGCTAAGGAATTCCCACTTTTCCCCCCCCGTGGCCCAAGCTAGGGAATTTTCACTTTTCCCCCCCGTGGGGGCTCCCCAAGCTATGGAATTTTCACTTTTTCCTCCCTTGGAGGCTCTCCAAGCTGCGGAATTTCAAATAGCTAGACAACGACGCCCAAATCCCGTGTTCTTTGAATGTGTTTCCATGTTTTTGCAATGGTTTCCTTCAAAGCACGGTACTTTACACTTTTGTCGCCATAAAACCGGTCGAAAACATCATGTTCGACAATGCATCCAATTCCCTTATCTCCCCAACCGTTGAAAATACCGCTATTTACAGTGTTTTCTTCAATTTTTCCATGTTCCAATGCCGGTAGCCAACTCCAACATATATATAAGAAATCCTTCCAAAACATTGTTTTTGACAGTGTTTTTCCAATGTTTCCAGTCAAACAGACGGTGATTTACACGTTTTTTGCCATAAAGGCAGTAAATCCTTCCAAAACATAGCTTTTGACAGTGTTTTTGTAATGCTTCCAGTCAAGCATACGGTAATTTTTTGCCATAAAGGCAGTAAATCCTTCCAAAACATTGCTTTTGACAGTGTTTTTGTAATGCTTCCAGTCAAGCATACGGTAATTTACACGTTTTTTGCTATAACGTCAGTCCAAAACACTTGTTTTTGCAGTGTTTTCAATGCTCTGGCATCCAAAAACACTGCAAAATCTTGCTATGTACCATGTTTTTTTCATTTTTGGCCGTTTTTCCATTGCCGGAAAGCTACCAAAATGACCCAAAATTCCATTTCAATACCCTCGTGCGCTCAGACACCCAAAAATCAATCCTCGAAAAATGTCGAAAACACCACCGAATTCTGGTCTCGGTGCGAAACCGTTTTTGGCCCCCCCCCCCAGCTAAAGCTGATATAGCGACTGCTATATTAACAAATGTGATTGAGCATTTAGTGTTGCTGTTTTGCCCCCCAATAAGCACGCCTTCACCGCCAAAGCGGTGTGGGCGGATTTGTATCTGTGTCTGAATGTGCATTTGTAAATGCATCTATCCATCTCTCTTTCTCTCTATCTACGTATGCATTTTTTTGGGAAACCATTTCAAGTAACAGCTGCCACTTGAAATAAAACCGGGCTTCTAGTACGGACACAGCTTGACCTCGTGTTTGCTCATTGTCTAAATGGAGTGCAACCGAACATCCTTATACATAGTGCCAACGCAAGTCGTTTGGCAGACACCCTTGCTGCAAGTACCAGGCCATCTTCATCTTGGGCCAAGTCAATTTGTTATCTGTTATCAACATCAAATTTGCATTTTTCTGGTTTTCAAACCATGATTATTGGCTATAGCTGCTGTCGCACATCCGCTTCCATTTGCACAGATGAATGGCAAAACAACTCAGTAAAACCTCACAGCCTCATAGAGAAAGATTTTCGACCTTGTAGATGAACTTCATGCTGTCAACTTTTGTCCCACTTGAGGCCTTGCACACCTGGTAGTTCCAGCAGATCCAAGCCCAGAGATGATCTCGCAAAGGATTGCAACTGCCGGAACTGCCGTTTCCACCATTGTATGACATGTCTTGGCGTTGTCAATCGAGCTCAAATATCTTGAAGACTTGCGCGCAGCAAACAATGCTGAGGACATGTTTCTTGTAGTGTGAAGGATGGATTGAGATGAACAAGATGTATGATTTGGATATATTTGGATTGTATTGGGAGTTTTGGGCTTCTCATCATTTTGGACCTGCAGATCCAAAGTTGACCTAGAAGCTTTGCGCATCACATGACCGCGGAAGACAGTCCACAGTGCCGTTCGCAGAAACTTGTTGCTAACAGCAAACAATTGGAAATTATTTTTGCAACATCCATCGTTTTTTCTACAGTGAGCAGTGCGGGTCACTCAGCTCAGTGAATAGGATCGAGAGGAAGAAGACAAGCCGAGGCCTCATGATCAAAGCTCTGTTTGAAGTAGCATAGGCAGAATTTTCAAGAAGTTTGGATACCTGACAAAATTAGAGCTGCCGCAGTATGACGAGAACATTTTTTGCTTGGTGGCTTTGGTGGCTTTGGTGTATTCCTTTCTGCTCAGGTGTCAATTGTCCACCAATGGTGTGGAGGCCGTAGTTTTGTGAAGGGCAGATTCAAAGATTAAGTTTCAATGAAGTTGTCCTGACCCAGCAACTCTTGCAAAGCAGTCGAAGCAGATACGTAGAAGTAGTGACACGTGCTTTCCATGTGATTCCTATGAGATTCCCATGTGCTGACATGTTCCCCTACTGGCCCTAGTGACTAGTGGTCCCGTCTTTGTTCTGCCGCTGGATGAGTCGAAGTTTTCAGATGAATCGTTCTTCACTTTTCCATTGAGCGCACTTGTTGGACCAGCCAGGCAGACATTGCTCTCAAAGCGGAGGGTGGTCTAAGCGGGAAGGTGAGGATTTGAGAGACTTGCAAAAATATGTCAGTCTTCAAGTGCAGCATTCATAAGACACTGTAAACATGAATGCAAATTGATTTGCTCTTGGCTTCAGCTTTGAGACAATTTGATTGTCCCGCGAAATTTAGCCAGTTCACAATTCTTCAGCAAGCGCAGGGGGTATGTGTGCAGGAAATAATGCAACTGATGGATTTATATTAGATGAATTCTTTTTTTTTTGCATTTGTCGCAGCATGTCGAACGACGATGGAGGAGCAGAAATGATGAGATGATCCCTGTAGCTGTAGGATCCCCTTAGATGACAAGGACAAGGACTTTATGCAGAGCTTTAGAGACTTTAGAGACCACCTGACAGAGACTTGATGCAAAGGCCATGTGTCGCCCCAGCATGGACCTGGCAGACCGGACAGAGCCGAGGGCAGTGTCCTTGGCAGTATGGCGGCGCAAGCGGCGCAAGCGGCGCAAGATCGTTTCGAATCAATCAGGCGGGCCTGAAAAGGGTTTGGGCGGTGGAAATCAGGTAGACTACGGCAGCGTTTATAGTTTATAGATGTTTATAGAGTATCTCACAGAGTTGAGACTTAAGACTTGTTGCAACTACTTGAGACTTCCAAACTTGTTCAACGATACTTTTGAAGTTGTACCAAGATTTACTGTGCAGCCATTTGACAAGGGCATAGGGAATCCAAGAGCAGTCCTGAACGCGGGAGGTTGGTGGATCCGTGCGGCTTGCTTTAGCTGTGACAGCGTCACTGGCGCCTCGCAGTCGTCGAAGAGCAGCCGAGCTGCCAACTGTCGTGCTTCGACGCGGCCGTGAGCATTTGCTTTCGCCTTTGCTGTATGATGCTTCCGTTGAAAGGGTCTGATGCTTACAGCATGGATTGAGTTTTTGCTTTCTTCCAATCGTTCTTGTCTTAATAGGGTGTAGGGGTGTGGTATGTAAGCTTCGTCCATGCACTATCCTTGGCTTGATCCATGTTTTGCAGTGTTAGTGGGGGACAACATTTGTTTTTCTCCATCTCTCAGACTATATTGTAAGGTACTCACATGATGGTTCATATGATATATATATATGTATATTATATATATATGTATTATATATATATCATATATATGTATATCATATATATATGTATATCATATATATGTATATCATATATATGTATATCATATATATGTATATCATATATATGTATATCATATATATATATATAAACCTATATACTGTTCTTGTCGTCCGAGGTGAAAGGCTTCCCAAGCGCAGGCGACCTTGTAGAGGTGTCCTGACGGTGAAACATGAAATCAATGCGCAACTGGAGAGACCAAACAAAAGCAGTCTAGCTATGCCAAGCAATGCCAAGCAATGCTAAGCAATGCCAAGCAATGCCAAGCAATGCCAAGCAATGCTAAGCAGGTATGTGACTGGCGTGGCTGTGTGCTAGCTGGAATCCGAGATTTCCTGCTGTGAAAGAGTTGGAGGAAAGCCTTTCTGTGAACAGTTTCGTGGCGATCTCCACTTTAGGTTAAACGGTGAAACCTTAGGTTGTACACTGGCAAATCGCGTCCTGAATGAGGCTATGGGAGTTTACAACCCCAACTCGATGTACAGAGTGAGAGCTTCGACCTCAGGCATTTTGAAAGACTTGAGAAAGGACATGAAAAGACAGAACAAATTGGGTCCAGTAACAGCAAAGACACATAAGTGAACCATGGTGAAACGCAGGATGACAGTTTTTCCCCTTCGCTTGCGAGGTCCTCCAACGTGGTGAAAACAGGTGCTTTTAGAGAGCTTACAATGTGAGAATGATTAAGAATGCCAGCGAATGCAATGCCCATTGAGTGCCAAAGTTTGAAATTGGACTTGAAGTCGCTCTGAAAGGCGGGACTTATCTTCAATCCTTTTGCACCGGTTGCGAGTTGCCATGGCAACTCGCCGGTTGCTGGGCTTGCCCAAAGCTGGACAGGACTGTTGCTTAAGGCAGCCATAACTCCCTGAGTCAGAATTGCTACAGCCTTCTCCATGTCCTGAAAGGACGAGGCATACCGACTTGTCAATGGCGAAGGAGATGGTTTGTCAGGACTGATCGCGAAGCACTTAATGGCCAAGCTATTTGAGGAGGCGAGAACAATCACCTGGGAGCAAAATCGAGCCACCCAAGGTTGATGTTTATGGATGCATCGCAGTGGTACGAGTAGCAGCCTACTGGGTTTGGAACTTAGACTTGTGTGAAAGTCTTAGGACTTCGACCAGCATCTCAGAAACGTTGTCTAAGGTTGAAAAACATAGACGCACAGTGGAAGATGGAATTCGGTCAATATTCTTAGAGGCCAGGCATGCAGAGAACATCTAGAAATAGAGAAGAGATGGCACATTCTTTGATGATTCTAGACATGATCGGTTTCTATATTACAATATCATGTATATTATGCATATATACATATACAGTATGGATTATACACATTTTGTCCATGTCCATGTTGCTATGTTGCTTCCTGTCACTCCATGTTGCTCGTTGATGTTGAAGGTTGGGGTAAACATCCGCCTTGTTTGGCGCCGAAGCTCAGCCCACCTGCAGCAGGAGATCACGTTGCAGCGAGTCCCCACGAGTCCCCATGAGTCCTCTAGGTCACAGAGGTCACAGAGATCACCAAGAATTTGCAAGAAGTCTACATTGTAGAAGTTGGTAGAAGTGGGTAACCGAAAGTTGGTAGACGTTGGTAGAAGGTACTAGAAGTTGGGAGGTTCGGGTTGGCATCTGTTCCAAGCGCTTCTACAGGACTTCCCGCAAGGCTGGAAAGTGCAAACTCAGACTTGGATACTGTGGGCAATGTGAGAGTTTCCCAGCAGATTGAATGAGATTGTCCAATTGGAGGTCTCTGCCAAAGTTTTGCAGAAGACGTTGAGGAAGAGGCACTCATTTCTGAGCTGACCAAGATTGGAATCTGTACAAGAGGGAAGAGCCAATTTGAAAGCACAGTGCTCCGATGTCCAGGTGGACCCGCACGAAGAGTGTGAGGTTTTGGGCTCAGTATCTTGGTGCAGGAAAGGTGAACATTGTGACAATTTCTGAACATTTCTGACAACATATCCTGACGATGTCCAATGGGTGGGTACGAAATGTACGAAGTGGCTGAAATTTCAGGTCATGGAGTCTGGCTTGCGCTTTTGGGTCCGCCCTGCTGGTGGCCAAAAGCCGAACTCCGAGTGTAAAGTAGACTGCGCTGGCATGTGCTGTCATGTCCGAAGCATTCCAAAGCTGCAATAGGGTGGCATCTGCTGTGGCACCAAGAGTTTGCATACTGAGTGGCTCTGTATATTTTACTAAGGACCGGCCTTTATTTGGACCAACGTCTCGCAGCCTGGTGATTTCTGGGGCATACTGTCACACCCTTCCTGCAATTCGATGAGAAAAGTTCAGAAAAGCTGCTGGACTTCTTCCCTAGACGTCAAGGTGAAAATCGCAGGCTGATCCGGTCCTTGGTGGCCCTCCAAGATGCACCACGAGCAGTGGCCTAAGCTGCCCAAACAGCCCAAGTGTAAAAAAGTGTCAGGACTTGGAATTCGTTGCACTTCAAAGAAACTAACATATGTTGACATTTTGTTTTAGTGATTGGATTATAGATAGGTGACAGTTTATGTGACAGTTTGAATATGAATGTTTGTTTCAAATATCTTTGAATGATTTCAATCCGACTTGTGCAACTTGTAATTAGTTGCGGTGAGGTCCTTGATTTGTGCTGCTACCATGGTGCGTTCGCTTTGGCTGCATTGGCAGGCCCAAACATTTGGTAGGCGTTGAGGATGACAAATCAGCAGATCGTTCCTTCTACCTCAGCATTTGTGCATGACGGTTTGGCAGGCGGTGCCTCGTGCGTGACTGCGGTAGACTCATCTGCAGAGGCGTTGCAGGCTGGCACAACGTAGAAGGTTTCTTAGAAAAGAAGCTGCTCCAGTATTGCCTTGCGGCCTTGCCTCTCAAACTTTTATCCGGTACGGTCCGGTACAGTCGCAATGGTCGTCTTTTGCCATGCCTAGGGACCTCTGCTGCCATGTCTATGGTGGTAAATAGATCATCTCATGGATGCTATGTAGCCTTCAAGCGGGAGGTTGCAGCTCGAAATGCCACCCTGAACGGCTTCAAGTCCTCCTTAAAGCTTGAGCAAGGAGTTCTGCTCTCAGCTTTGCGCAGCTTTGCGCAGCCTCTTTTCATATTGACACTTTAGACATCTTTAGACATCTTTAGACCACCTAAGGATGTGGCAGCTTTCATGCACCAGGCCGCAGCAGACAAGCAGGAGTCTTTTGGCGATTTGCTTGGACACAAAACAATGGCAACACATGGAAAGAGCCTGACCTGGAAAATTTCCCTTCTAGAAGCACTTGTACTGTAGCACTTGTTCATTTTTTGAGATGAACAAGGAGCTGCTAGCAGCCGGGCTGGGTGTATCCCAGCGGCTTTTTCAAATCTTGTGAGCTAATTTTGTAAGTCGGTGAGCTGACTAGCGAGCCACATGCATCAGTGTCCATCAGTCAAACGTTTTGTTCAAAGTTTCCTTGATGGTTATGGTCATGGTGATGCGTGTTGTCAATGTCAGCAGGTAACTCTTTATATGGTGAGAATTTGTTGTGAAGGATGGTTTGATGGAGGTCCTGCTTTTTCCGGGATGTTCTGGCAGTAAACTGGCAATCTCTTTTGTTTCGATGCACTCTTGGCAGCGTTGCAGTCGTGCAAGTGTAGGGAAGTTGTGTTTAGTTCGAACGACTTGTTTGCAACAATTCCCCGTCTTTGTCCAAACGTAGCAACAACGACCAGGGTTCGTCCGCATATGGAGTTGCTTGCCTTGGTTTTTCGGTTTTTCTTGGACGGTGTCCTTGCCACTGTCACATAGTCGCATAGGTGCGTCGAGTCCTGAATTTGAATTGCTTCGCTGCTGCACCAGATATCACCAGATTAAAGTCGAAGCTGATGAAGCTGGAGCCAAGGCAATCATTCGCAGATCATTCGGCTGGGGTCCATCATCGTTTGTATTGGTAAGTTCTATGTATATAAGTTCTATGCAATCTAACGCAATGTAACATGACGCTTTCAGTGCAACACAATGAAGTCCAATGCAACGAAAAGAGCCACAACAAAATCGCAACGCAACGTGATGTCATGTCCCATCATGTCATGTCATGATACATAAACCATCATAAATGAATCATAATGCGTGTATTCCGCGTGCAAAGTTGTTCAGGCCAAAGAAACATATACTGCCAGTGTGCCTGTTGGCCATGAGTTCCAAGTAGAATGTCTTAGGTCGTCTTATGTTGTATTGGCTTGCGTGGCTGGAAACTTTGCGTGGTTGATTCTGGCAATGCAACAGGTTGTCACAGCAACTGTGTTTTGATCCCCTATATAATTGGATCATATTGGATCCAGATAAGGTAGACTGAATGGTTGAACAATACTCCTGTGTGGACAGTTTGAGTTGGGCCTGTCTGTACAGTGCACAGCATCTTGCCAGTGTCACAGACTAAGGAAGCCATCCTGTAACAGACTGTATTGAATATATTGAATATATTGATGGAGCAATGGAGCGATGGATTTGAGGCAAGACTGATGCGTTAGGAGTATGATGTGGTTGTCCTGGATCCTCCGAAATTGGCTCCTTCCAGGTGGGTTGACTGGCGCTGGCATGAACCTGCTTCCATTTGCTTCTATCTGTTTTTTCTTCTCCCATTCTGGTGCAGGCGCCGAGAGGCATTGGCGAAGGCTGAACGGAAATATATGGCTTTGAACGAGGCTGGTCGATGCACACATTGTGCTCTCAAGCTTCGACTTTTCCCACATAAGGCAGCGTTGCGCTTGGTGGCCCCTGGTGGCATACTCCTGACATGTGCCCTGGGAATCTGTGACAATTCTTGCTCAGAGATTCCAAGTCATTTTGACCGTAAAGACACGAGGTGTGCGGGCAAAAAGAAAGAAGCAACTTTGGGTTTGGTTATATAGTGATGGGTGCCCAGCTGCGGCATCAAAACTTTTGACAAATGAAATATTCTTTATTCTTCTACGTTTCTATTGTCAGAAAGTCACTTACACGTTGCACTTTGTTCGAACAAAGGCCACCCTTGTAGTATTTTGTAGCATTTTTGAACTTCTGTTTAGACTCGCATTTTCTTAGAGAAAGGAGGTCTTGGAGCATTAGCATCAGCCACTGACCTACGATGCTAGAGTTTCAAAGGCATGAATGTCCAGGGTCCGTCGGGAATCTCGAATGTGCTTAGTTCATTTTGATGGCTTCTACTCTGTATCTAAGTGCATCTATATAAGGGGTGCTGTCGACCAGAACAGCTTTGGGGGTGTTTAGGTTTGCAAGTTTGCATGCAATCTGGCCGCGGTGAAAGTAGATTACTTGGACTGTTTTCAAGAGCATTTTCAAGAGCTCCAAGAATTTTTGCTTGTTGTTTTTGACTTTCCAGGTACTTGTTCTGCGGCTATGACTCAGTCCGGTCGTTTCATAAGAATGGTGAAGGCTGAGATCTGTGCTGTGCTTCATCCCTTCTCCCTAATAGTGAATAATTACCCCCAATAGGGGACCCCGACATGATTTAATTTAATGCAAATTCCTAAAGCAGGATTTTCCTGGACGGTGTTAAAGAATATAAACTACGGTGGAAGGGAGAATTTTCCATTGGAATGCACTCAACAACTCAGCATCGTTCTGGATGTTTGCAGCAAGAGGAAGTTCATCATTATTGCACACAGGCTGCTGCTTTTGGCGCAGAGCGCGTAGCTTCCCAAGTCCCGTGCAAGTTGACTTTTTCGAACACTTAAGATAAACAGTACAGATTCTTGGCTGTTCCTCCTGAGGATCTTGCTGTACTGCAAACCTCACAGGTGTTTGTGAGAAGCGGCTGCAGACGCGTGATGTTCTGTAGTTTGGAGTTCCTTGTTTAATTTTTAATGGTTTTTCTTTGTTTTTGTTGCAGACATCTCGCGCGAGGCGGCTCCAGACCATCCCGTTTCCCCGGCTTGCCCAGAGGTTGGGAGAGCTGATGCTCAGGTGGTTCAGATGCCAAAACTTTTGAATAACAATTTGAGTATTTGAGCAGCCTGATGGCAACATATAACTACGTATTGCTGACGTGGACATCGCTTTGCTTAGCCGATGGTTCCTGCAAGCAAGGCGGCATATTTGACAGCTGTATTGGCCCGGGTAGAGTGAGAGCGCCGAGGGTTGTTTGCATGTCAGAACAGCGGAAAAAACTGAGAGCGTGCTTTGCTTGGGGAAGCAAGTCACAAACGACATTTGAGTCAGGAGCCATTCTATTTTCGGATTGATGGGCTTTGTTCAAACAGCCTACCCATCTTCCAAGTACAGATTGCCTGAACCCTGAATTGCAGCTTGTCTTGATGAGTTGTCTTGCTGCACTGCCACATCTGTTGCCAGTCGCTCTCGATGAGCATGATTGCAATGGATGCATTTCTGCGGCAGGCAGAGCAAGGGCAGGGACAGGGGTGCAAAATGTTTGTCAAAGCATACCCAAGCACAACCGGATGGGTGAACATGGAATTCGAACGAAATGTTTGAATTCTTCCTGGGATGCTGACCTCTTTCACTTTCCAACTGACTTCCTGTGACGCATGTTTCACATATATTGAAAGCAGTTTCTGTCTCACGCGATGGTGTTGAACTTCGGCATCTTGGCATTTTCCAGTGAGTCTTGATACCTTGGGCTCTGCAGTTGGGGAATGGCCTCAACTCACAACGGAGTGGCCTGGTCCCCTTGTCAAGCTTGAAGCTCAGGAGTGATCAGAGTATCAGAGTGACCGAACGATGTTAGCAAAGGGCAAAAAGAACCACAAGAATCATGTATGAAGATGTGTAAAGTCTGCAACGTATAAAGTAGTATGAAGCATGTAAAAGCCTCCCGAAAAGAAACCTATAAGAAACTCTGTGAGGTCCAAGAAGTCACCAAAAGCCATTGAGGTCCTTTGGGGATTGTTGCAAGACATTTGGAGGCACGTTTACCTTCCTGTTGGTCTTGACATTGGCTGCTTCAACCTTGAATTGCCAGCTGGTCGAGTTGTTTGGGTCTTGTACTGAACTGTCATTCATTTCTCATCTTTTTATCATTGCTCTCACAGTTGCAATGGCATGGCCAACACTGTCATAACTTGAAGCCTGCCTTTTGGGCCCAATTTCCAGCTTGAAACGCTCGTCAAAGGCGCTTGCACAACCAGCATTTTGATCATTCAGACTTGAACAGGATGTTTGGCTCTGGAAACTCCCCAAAGATATGGCGATGCCGGCAAATGGCAATTTAGCTTCATCACGAACACCTTAGTCACACAACTCTCGGCTTACATGTCGCCACTTGATCTTATTACTTACCTTTGAGCTGATAATGGCACGCCAGTCCTTGTCTCAGATCAAGCTTGCGGTATTGCATTAATTGATCCGCCGGTCTTTGTTGTCAGCCGATGCTGTGGAACGGAACAACCTCAGAATATGTCGCATGTTGTGCTGCAGAATCGCATTGCAGAGGTCTTTATGTTTTTCTTTTGGCAGTCTAGTGCGATTTGGTCTCCACGGCCTGTCGAGCAGCAGTACCAGCACCACCAGATCTCTGCATGTCCCCGCCAGAAGCCCAGCGTTAGCGAACATCCACAGATTGGCTCATGCAGTGACTCATGCAGCATAGTTATGCATAGTTTAGGAACCAATTTGCACGCGAGGCAATGCGATTAGGACCAAAGAAGGCCCCAGCCTTGGAGCATGTAGAAGGTCCAGTTTCGCTTGAATCTTTACACCCGAACCATCTGAACGATCTATGATCTGATTGAACCTGACTGAACCCGATTGAACTGGAACACGTTCAGTCTCTGGTTCTGCTCGGTGCTTTTCAGGCAGCAAAGGGTGCAAAGGCACCAGCGGCAGCAGCAGTGCCAGCTGGACCTCCTGGTGCTGGTCAGGCCCCCTTGCAGACGTCAAAGCATCAAAGTAAAGCAAAGTAAAGCAAAGTAAAGCAAAGTAAAGCAAAGTAAAGCAAAGTAAAGCAAAGTAAAGCAAAGTAAAGCAAAGTAAAGCAAAGTAAAGCAAAGTAAAGCAAAATAAAGCAAAGTAAAGCAAAGTAAGCAAAGTAAAGCAAAGCAAAGCAAAGTAAAGCAAAGTAAAGCAAACAAGGATTACGAGTAAAGAATGAGTAAAGAATGAGGACAGTACTCTTACGGGAAACAATACAAAGCAAAGCAATGCAAGGAAAGGGCTGCTCACGCCACAAGCTTCATCTATGCTGCTATGCTTATGCTGAACAAAGTGCTTGCATCAACTGAAATTGATTTTGAATTTTGAATATCTTTGAACAATCAGCACCAATGCAGGGAATGTAAGCCATCCCCGTCAGTGTAGCTACAAGTAGATGCCCATGGCCTTCCAGAGATGCAGAGCCGGCTAAACTCTGTTTTTGTCCTTGTGCTGAACTTATGTTGTTTGAAGTTTGTGCAAACCCTTTGCAAACCAGAACCTGTGTGCTGTGTGTGTGTACCCCTGGCAGCAAACATTGGTACTTGCTGCGCATCTGGACCAACTATGGCGTCAAGAAAATTGTGCGCTCGCAGGTCTTCAATATCTATGCTGAAAGACCGGATGAGGAGTTAAAGCCGGATAGCTGGCAGCTCGTCACAACTCGGAGTTCACTGATTTCACTGCGTTCTCATACAGCCACAGTGATTTTCATACAGCTATACAGGTGGCCGATGATTTCTCTTGTTTATTATCATTGCTTGACCAAGTGACCACGAGGTATCCAAACTGGCTCTGGAAACTGGAGACTCCTCCCAAGCATTATGGAGACTCCTGGCACATCTAAACCTGGCACGTCAGTGGACTCACATGGACTCACGGTTGCTTCACTGTCAAGCTATGTCAAGCTGCTTCTATCTGCTTCTATCAGATTCTATCTGCTTCTTGTGGTTTCCTTCGTGGAATGCCTTTGGTTAGGACCTCACACTCATGTTTGTCCACGGAGTCAACATTGAAGAGGCTCTGTGGATTTGTCTGCTGTTGTCTTCCTACGGCGTGGCTTCAACTTGAACTGTACTTCCGCTGAAGCCCCAAACTGCACTGGCATTTTGCTCTTGTTGCTCTAGGCAACACTCAGTGACTACCAGCGATTTCTACGTCAACACCGCAAGATGATCATCAAGATCAATAATCTCCGATTAAAGCGGAGCAAGAAGAGGCCCTTGCACTAACTCACGCCGAAATAAGATGTGGACAGAAAATTGATCTACACTCAGTGACACTGTGAGCTGTGGAGGCCGGGTCTCAGGATTACGTGACCTGAGCGTGACTTGTGCAGATCGGCAGTTTGACTTTGCTGCAGTTGCATCAATTGTTCTTTCTTTGCAATTCTCTGATTCTAACTATCTGAATCTTTACGCACTTTGCCCGATCTCAACATTGAGAGTTTGCATAGCTCGAAGTACAAATGCCAAAGCGCTGAAACTTGCTTGGCTCTGTGTAAAAAGAGCTGCAGCGAAATCGATCAGCATGCTGAAACATGAGCTTAGAGCAGCTGTTCGATTCAGGATCTTGCCGTTTCCCATGCGGTGACCGGTATGTTTCTTACATGTTCTTGCTACATTCAATTTTGCAAGTTGTTCTTTCCTCCACATCCCACTTTGGCAGGCGAACCGCCAAAGGAATGCTTTCAATTTGATTGGCACTCTCCTGAGCAATGAGTGCATCATTAGCAAAATTGAAATTCTTCGGGTAATTTTGCGGCTCGTCAGGCCAACAGGTGAGGTGACAAATTGAATGGGTCCCTGCGGCAGACTTTGCTGGAAGCGAATAAAATACTTCTGCAATCTTCTGCACCCAGGTAGCACAGCCATTGTTGCTTTGGTTGACTGCAGAGGCTAGCGGACCTGCATGTTCAGGGTATCTGCAAACTCACATTCTCAACCCCCATGCGAACAAGAGGAGGACACTTTTTCTCCAAGAGAAGGCTAAAGAAAGGGTGTCAAAGAATGTCGCAAGACCATGCCTTGATATTGTGACCCCTTTTTTCAGTGCCACAACAAAAAAAGTGATCAGTGCCACACATTTAGTGGCTTTGCGAATTTAGTGTTGGAGACTTAAGGCTACAGCCCGTTTGTCGTCCAAGAGCTTCTTTCAAGATCCTGGCATTTCCCACATCCTAATTTTGTTACATTGCCTGCATGAAGATTCTTGTGCTCACAGATTTGAGGTACCCTTAGGATATTAGAAACCTTGTGAAACCTCCTTGTACCAGACATAACTTGGTATCCGTGGAAACACTGCATATAGACTATATATAGACCCATTGGAACTTACCTTCGACCCACTAAGCTTCCACCAAACCCATGGCAACTTCTACTGGTTTCATCCAAGTTCAATATAGCACTAGTGCTGTGCTATGTTGGTGAAAACAGACAGGTCTGCCAAGTCTTGATAACTTCTTGATAACATCTTGATAACTTCATGATATCTGATAACTGCTTGATAACTTCTTGACTATTTGCATCTGGCAGTTTTGTTTTCGCAGAATTACACACTGCTCTTTCGCTGTTATCGGAGCTGCAGGCTCCCAACGAAGTGTTACAGTTGCCAACTGCGGAGATTCTAGAGCTGTACTTTGCCGAGGGGGCAAGGCACAGATTGAGAGCGAAAGTTCAGGTTTCTGTTGAGACGGCCGCAATGAAAGTCTTAGTATTGCACATGCACCCAAAGATGCTATGTTCTACTGTACTTTTCAAGGGTGGTGGCATCGCATCTTGCTTTTGGGTCAGGCAATTGAGCTTTCAGAGGAGACTGTCTGGTACTGCTTGCTTTTTCCTTCGATCGTGAAATGCCCTAAATTGCAACACTCGCAAGTTGTTTGCAACTGCCTGCAAGTATTCCTGGGCTGCCACAAGGACCACAAGCCGGAGCTTGAAAGTGAAGAGCAGCGAATCAGGAATCGTCAACCCAGTTTTGCTTTCAAAGCTTTGAAATTTGTATTTCCAGTCCTTGAAGGGTGGGGTGAGCAATCAAGTTTGGTTGGAAGACAGTTCCTAGGCAGCGTGAGTTGAGGTGAATTTGGAGTTCTTCCCTTCTTTTCCCTTCTTTGCCACTTTTAAGTCATAGAATCTATGCATGCTAGAGACTTGGTTTATTATATACTGGATTTTTTTCCCTCATGAGAACGAGAAGCAGATGCTGATTAAATCTTATTGATAGTCTTTATCAACAGAAGATCTTTCTCGCACTGAACTTGACAGATCTTTTGACAGATCTTTTGACAGATCTTTTGAAAGGCTTGCAGGTGGTTCTGTGAAGCTGATTGGCCCCTGCCACCGAATAGACGGGTGGAAACCTCAGCTGAAACCACACAAAGACAACCAAGTGTCGAACTATGTCGAACTATGTCGAACTATGTCGAACTTGTGATCTCAGGCATATCATCCATTTTCATCAATTTTCATCCATTTTGCACAAATGCATTTATGAAATTGTGCTGTTTGGTGCGGTGCAGGGGCTTGTGGCATGATTGTTTCGCCATGGTGTGTTCAACAGGTGGGGACTCAACCTGTCTCGAGCACTCGGTGATTTTCACTACAAGGCGTCGCGACAATCTTTGATTGATAGCTTGGTTACTGTTTAAATCGTATTGTGTATGTTTTTCTAGTGTGCAAATCGCACTGTAAGACCACGTAAGACCTATGTGCTTCACTCTTCCACATGTTTTCTGCCAACAGTGCGCCGAAGGCACGGGCAGATCTCAGTGCGGAGGAACAGAAGGTCATCGCAGTGCCAGAGGTTTGGCATGATTCGTGCAGACAAAAACCAACAATTTACTCAGGGATTCTGTATAAAGTCACTTGGTTAGTCACTTGATTAGTCACTTGATTCCGTTTCCTCATTGGCTCCTAATGTATCTCCCTCGAACTGACAAGCAATGCTTATTGTGTTTTACCTTGACTTAGTCATCGCTGAAAACAGCCTTGCACATCAAACTACTGCAGATTCGAACGGTGCAGCTGGATGACGAAGACGAATTTTTGGCAAGGGACTAAACAGTTGGCCGAAATGTGCATGCAAATGCCGAGCTGTTCTCTCCCAGAGCATTGTCCTACCTTGTCACTGGACAAGGTATTAGCCTGTGACGGCTGCTTTGAGCTTCATTCATCCCAGGACATCATAGTTTGAAGTTTGAAGTTTGAAGGGTGTGGAAAATCTGGACTCAGACCGAGCGTTGGCAATGTTTGAGGACGTAATTGACATTGTCAACAGTGCGTTAAGAGCCGGTGTCGATGTGAAGCAGGCGCCTAGAAAGGGACTTTTGGATTGAGCGGACACCTGGCATCCAGATGTTTGATGGGAAGTCTGGACATGTCATGACATGTCTGTCTAGACGATTTGATTCCACTTACAAGACTTGATCAAAGATATCAAAGCGCTTACGCTTGCAGAAAAATCTTTTCTGCTCTTTTCAAATCAGCGTGGGGTTTTTGTTTTGAACATGTGCCCTTATTTTCTTTGAACACAAAGGCGTCAACAATGGCTTCCCTCCGTAGCTGTTACTTTTGAGCTGATGCTCCTGCATAAACTTCCGAATGGTCGCAGCTGCAGTGCCACCGTTGCATTCGTTCAAAACCATGTCAGCAAGAGCTGTTTTATTTGGTTTCCAGGAGAACGAACCACGGCGCTCATTCCATGAACGCCGTGGAACTTGTCATTACTCTCATTATAATTATCAACAAGCACCTGATGCGTGCAGTTCTTCTAGGTGTACTTGGTATTCGTTCAGAAGCAATAAGGCACTAGTGACAGATGTTGTCGTCATTTTTTGACATTTGGTTTCATGTCATCATTGCTGTCACCACTACCTTGATCGCTCAGAGTCGCTAGGTTTTGTCCTCATGTTTCTAGCAGCCCTCAGTTTCATTTTCACACTGTCCAATACGATACCAGATTGCTCCTGAACATTGTGTATGTGTGTGTATGTGTGTAGAGATATTTGACGGTCCATAGACAGGTGCATACTCCGTTATATATTCATGTATGCGCAGTCTAATATCATATAATTGTGTATACATACAAACACGCATCATTTCGATCAGCTTGGTGCTTGACTTGTTTGGTAGGATTCCATCTCGTTGGTCATTCAATGGTTTTGTTGCCCGCAACTGTGAGGCTGCAGAGCAACTTGTCGACAAAAGCTGCAGCCCGAACTTGGTGAAGACAAGAGGTAAAGGCTGGTGCTGTAAAAGCTGAAAGCCACTGGAAAGCGCTTCTTGTTATTTCTTTTTGAGTGGTTGGTGGCCTCAACCCTTTCCTGTAGGTGGAGATAACTGCAGCGCTATCGTCATCAAGTTTCGCTGAGTCATTTGTAGTGCAGAACCTCGTTGAACAGACTTCACCATACTTCACCTGCTCGGTCATCCAGGACTCTGCGAAACCTAAAACATTCCGTCTTGCAATAGTTTTAAATGCTGGTGTTCACAGCACCTCGCCAGACCTGGTCTTTGGCTTTCGCATAGCCCGAAATACTTGCATATCCTAATCTGAGGCGAGGCTCGAGACTCTGTTTGCAAAAGGTGTGGTTTGATTGCGTTTGATTTCAAGCTTTCAGAAGTATTTGAAGAATGCTTCCTCTACCTTGTATTGGAGTAAAGATGCTGAGAATTACCACAAGAGTCACCTGGACAAAGGAGGTTCAAAGTTTGTTCCCTGATGTACGGCCACGGAAGGTCTGAAACTACCCAAATTGCCCACCCTTTGAAGGTCTTTGACCTCTTCTTGACCTTTTCAGTTTATTGCTTTGAGGCCACAATTAAGAGGGGTTCGAGTTACAGGGCTCCTCATGTAGCAATTGCCAGAAAAAGTCTCAACAAGTCTATTCAGCACCGGAGTTCCAACAGTAGAGATTCACAGAGCACTTTTATGATAGACAATCAAAAACAGCTGAACTATGCAACTAAACCCATACTCAACATTACTCAACATAATATGCGCCTAAAGAGGTACGCTACAGACCACTTTGTAACTTTGTCATCATAGGGTATGGGGTCTGGCATGGTTCTGCATTGCACAATCTGAGCGTGAAACAGATGGCCTAAACAGGGCCCAATCACGCCATTCCAATTCCGTGCTCAACAAGAGCAGCACATAGCAGCCTTAGTCGGCTTAGTGAACACTCAGTGAACACACTGGAGTCACTGGAGATTTGGAAAGTTGGTAAGGGACTGATAAGGTGAAGGCTTCAGGACCCATGATGTACCGGGTAAAAGTGAAGTACAGTAAAGTCTCTGAATGAATTGAACATGTCAGAACATGCCAAACAATTGGTCACAGGATCACTTAGGACAACTTTTTGGATCACTTAGGCTGACAGTCTTGGATCTGGATTCAAACTTCTAAGGTTTTATTAAGGGGGGTGACTGGGGACTGGGGACAGTGGGGACAACCAGAGGTACAGGAGACGACATATATAATATTATATAATACTGTATAATATTTAATATAAAATAAAATAATACAATACAATACAATACAATACAATATATAATATAATATAATATAATATAATATAACATAATATAAAAATAATATAATATAATATATTCTAATCTAATCTAATCTAATCTAATATAATATAATATAATATAGTATAATATAATATTATATAATATTAATAATATAATATAATATAATGTAATGTAATATAATATAATATAATATAATATAGAGAGGGGGACGCCCCACGCCCGTGTAATTTCCATATAAATCACTATTTTTGACAAAGTCCCTATATAATGAGTTTTAAGACATGTTATCGCATGACTTGTCACATTATGTATGTATATTTATGCTCCAGTCCGTAGTTCGTGCCCTATCCTTCTAAGCTACTTGGTGCGTGTGCCCGTCATGCCTTTGGAAGCGGAAGATATGACGTATGACGATTTGAAGGAAGTAACCGAAGGATTAACATTACGCAGCATTCCTGCTAGTGTTTCTCCTGAGCTACCCAGAGGTTCTTTTGAATGGGATGCCTTCCCGAAGGATGATTTCAACACATCGGAGTCCCCAATGGTCCATTTCTATGACATCATCTTTGGGTATGAAAATGCGATTGACTTTGATGCCTTGGGAAAAGCGTACAAGAATGCTTGCGACAGACATGACCTACAGCTACTACCAGATCCCTTCGGCCTCAAGAAGCAAGTCTCCCCCGACACTCGTATGTAAATCGTCATCTTGAAAGACACAGACAGCAACCATGCCATCTTGAAGCATATGACTTGCCCAGAGAAGGTTAAACCCAATATGGTTCGCTCCCTTGTGCACGGCACCCAGTCTTTGAAGATGACATTTTGAAAACATCAAGCACTTCATCGTAGATGAGTTCCACCGGGGCAACCACAAATGCAAGAAATGCAAGCTGACGCGCAGTGAGGCCAACCGATTTAAGGATGTAAGGACTAATATGAGTGAAGTGTTCAACGCATGGATTCGTAGGAAGAATTTCATTTTGAATGGCCTTCGGCCTTGTAGCCACAAATTTGGGGTTGAAGAGAGTATCTTGTTTTGGAACGCGAATCTCCGGGAAATGCCAACGACAAGTATCCGAAGAACTAACGTGGCAACCCGAAAGAGGCCGGCGGCGGCCCTGTAGACAGAGAAACCGGGAGAGCGAAGATGGCGGAAAATGAGGTCGGCCCCTAGGAGACCAAAAAAAACCAAAAAAACAAAAAAAACAAAAAAAAACAAAAACCAAAGACATGCCCCCAATGCCTACAGTCTCTAGAAATCTTTGTTTTTTTTTGTTTTTTTTGGTCGTTTTTTGTTTTTTGTTTCTTTAGACCTTTGTGGCCTATTTTGGCATATTTGGGCATATTGTGGCCTATTGTGGCCCTTTGATGATGTGAAAACACTGCAAGAGGAAAACACTGCAAAACACTGCAAGGAAAACAGTGCAAAACGCACGGGCGCACAGCGTCCTTTTCTGATAATATAACATAATATAATATGATATAATATGATATATAATATAATATCTAATCTAATCTAATCTAATCTAATCTAATAATACCATATAATATAATATGATATAATATGATATAATATAATATAATAAAATATAATCTAATCTAATATAATTAATATAATATGATATAATATAATATAATACAATATAATATAATATAAATTTATAGTTATATAAAATTATGTATATAGATAGATAGATAGATAGATTAGATTAGATTAGATTAGATTAGATTAGATTGATAGATACAGATAGATACAGATAAATACAGATAGATACAGATAGATACAGATAGATACAGATAGATACAGATAGATACAGATAGATGCAGATAGATACAGGTAGATACAGATAGATACAGATAGATACAGATAGATACAGATAGATACAGATAGATGCAGATAGATACAGGTAGATACAGATAGATACAGATAGATACAGGTAGATACAGATAGATCCCGATAGATGCAGATAGATACAGATAGATACATATAGATACATATAGATACATATAGATACAGATAGATACAGATAGATACATATAGATACAGATAGATCCAGATAGAGACAGAGAGAAACAGATAGATACAGATAGATACAGATAGATACAGATAGATACAGATAGATACAGATAGATACAGATAGATACAGATAGATACAGATAGATACAGATAGATACAGATAGATACAGATAAATACAGATAGATACAGATAGATACAGATAGATACAGATAGATACAGATAGATACAGATAGATACAGATTAGATACAGATAGATACAGATAGATACAGATAGATAGAGATAGATAGATAGATAGATAGGATAGATAGATAGGATTAGATAGATAGATAGATAGATAGATAGGATTAGATAGATAGGATTAGATAGATAGGATTAGAAAGATAGGATTAGATAGATAGGATTAGATAGATAGGATTAGATAGATAGGATTAGAAAGATAGGATTAGATAGATAGGATTAGATAGATAGGATTAGATAGATAGGATTAGATAGATAGGATTAGATAGATAGGATTAGATAGATAGGATTAGATAGGATTAGATAGATAGGATTAGATAGATAGGATTAGATAGATAGGATTAGATAGATAGGATTAGATAAATAGGATTAGATAGATAGGATTAGATAGATAGGATTAGATAGATAGGATTAGATAGATAGGATTAGATAGATAGGATTAGATAGATAGGATTAGATAGATAGGATCAGATAGATAGGATTAGATAGATTAGATTAGATTGGATAGGGTTAGATTGGATAGGATTAGATTAGATTTACATTAGATTAGATAGATAGATAGATGGATAGATACAATGGGATCCATTGGGTACATACGTTTATGGCTTCAAAAGCCAAAGCGCGCAGAGAACACTGAAAGAGTCTCTAGTGCACCTGTGAATAAGCATAGAATGCATTTCATGTAACTGAAGCAGCAACAAGTCCTGAATGTCCCGATGATCATCTCTAGTGCAATTGTGCAAGTCTGTCGAAATCATGTTCTGATATATGAATATATCCTTCTATTGCAAATATCATCATGTATTTGTGACGTAGGCCTAAGCGAGGTACTGACCAAAAATGTCGCTCGTTATATCTCGTTATACTTGTTTGTTTGTCAGTTCATCTTCAGACCTCCAGGACCACCGGCTGCGAATTCCGGTGGTTTGCCTCCATGGCCAGCTTTGGAAGCCGACCATGAAAGTCAAAAAGTCAGCAGTCCTCATTGAAGTCAAAGCATTATAAATCACAGTATGTTTCTGAAGTCGAAATCGAAGCCACAATGAACGGTGCGACAAATGTGGAGGGGTTCCCACCTTGCCAACATCCTTCAGGCCGTGCAATAAAGTGACATAGAGAAGACCGGGGGTCCTGCCCTTTTGTAGACTGAATGTTGGCTGCACGAGGCTGCCATGGGCTCCAGGGTTTCAAGATCCACACAGAGTAGGTCAAGTAGACAGAGTAGGTCGAATAGGTGTCTATTTTCGTCTTTATGCTCGACGCTCAAGCTTTGGGCAACGGTGGGCAGCTGGTTTCTCGACTGCACTAAGATTGCAGAGGAGGACATGAAAGGACTTGTGCTGTGCCATGCTGTGCCATGCTGTGCCATGCTGTGCCATGCTGTGCCATGCTGTGCCATGCTGTGCCATGCTGTGCCATGCTGTGCCATGCTGTGCCATTGATTATGAGCCTTCAGCTTGTGAAGTTTTGTGAAGTTTTGCAGTGTGGTGCCCATTTGATGCTTGGACGCTTTCTCGATAGGCTTGCGGCAGGATATGAGGTGCAGGTCCTGGAGCTTACAGACTCTATGCATTTGTATGCATTTTATACCAGACATGTGGCTTCAAACCGTTTGACAGATCAGCGACACCATTTGGCTCGTTACTTTTCTAGATCAGATTTGGAAAATTGGCTCAAGTTACTGTAGGTTTTGGACTCGAAGAGCCTGGCTTGCACGGCGGACGGATCAGAGGAGCACAGATTGCACGAACTTATCAGTTTGACTTCCTCGTACCACCTTGAGTTTTGATGTCCCTTTTAGGATTGGCCCTTTGTTCATCGACAGCTAATACGACTTTTGGACGGGCAGGCTGGGTGTGAGTATGATCAACAGGTTTCAGGTTGCAGCACGCAGCAAAAATTAAGCCAGACGCGTGTATAATACACATAAACAATTAATAAATACAGATATTATCGCCACTTGCATTGTATACGCTACGCATGTCTATATGTAGCATGCATATTTGTATGTGTGTATACATATATATATATGTATGTATATATATATTTCACACGGTGTATCGGTTTCATAGATACATGTGCTCTGTAGTTACCATTTTTTTGTGCGCATATGTTTTGCGCGTATATACTTGTATATATATATATACATATACATATATATATATATATATGTACATATGGTGGGTATAGGTATAGATAGATGATATATCACTGTTATGTATAATATATATATATGGTAGCCCCCTGAAACCTACCTTTTTGACATATTCATCAGATGGTTGGGTCAAAAGGGGGTTACCTTACATACACACTAAGGGCATTATATATATATGTATATATGTATACATATATATATATATTCTAATAGTGTAATACGTATGCTATTGAGACTGATTGAATTTAATTTCAATGATGGCATTCTGGGAAGAATGCATTCAGAATGCATTCTCTGCATTCTGGGAAGAATGCATTCAGAATGCATTCTCTGCTAAAGCCCAGAACCAAGAACCAAGATTTCCCCAAGACTCCTGAGCAAATCTTGGTTCGAACCAAAACCAAGAACCAAGAACCAAGATTCCCCCAGGACTCCTGAGCAAATCTTGGTTCGAACCAAAACCAAGAACCAAGAACCAAGATCTGCTCAGGAGTCCTGGGGGAATCTTGGTTCTTGGTTCAACTTGGTTCCAAGATTTGCTCAGGAGTCCTGGGGAAATCTTGGTTCTTGGCTCGAATCAAGATTTGCTCAGGAGTCCTGGGGGAATCTTGGTTCTTGGTTCTTGGTTTTGGTTCGAACCAAGATTTGCTCAGGAGTCCTGGGGGAATCTTGTTTTTTGGTTCTTGGTTTTGAGCCTAAGATTCCCCAAAGACTCCTGAGCAAATCTTAGATCTTAGATCTTAGATTAGGGAAAGAATGCATTCTGAATGCATTCCTGTGGAAATGCATCCATCTTGGGTTTCCCTTAAGCAGATGGGATTGATTCAACTACCATGAAAAAGTTTCAACTTTGGGTCTTTCCCCAAGCCTGAAAATAAATGAACACACTGTGTCAAAGCAATGTTGCATTTTCTTGAAGGAATGCCCCACCATGTTTAAGGAATGTATCACTCTTGTCAATGGAAAATTGAAAAAAAGTAATGCTACACTACGACTCTTTTGGAACTATTATTGTTTCCAGTGAATACTGCATAGACTAAGAGAGCTTTCGAAGGGGCGCTGTCAATCTCACAAAGGTAGCATTTGTGATGTTTTTGCTTAAGCAAAGACGGCTCGCATTTGTTCATTTCAAGTATACACAATTACCGTCAAAACATTAGGGCATACTGACTCTAGAAAGCACAATGTAGCAGTACTTGTGCCACATGTGCAGCATGTTGTTTTAAATATCCAACTTGTTTTTCAACAAATATAGTGTCACTTAGAGAAAAACATGCATGTTCTTCAAAGTAATGGCTACATCTCTGAAGATAGTCTTATTTGATTTGAAGAGATACTGCATTTGATTGGAAGATGCCTTGTATGTTGCAGGGACTGTTTGTGCAACGTGTTTCTTCCTTCCAGAAGTATTGTACTTAGTACGTTAATGCATTTTTACATGTTGGAAAAAACGATTGATCGAAATGAAGAGATATATTTTCAAGAGAAGTGGCTTTCTGCAAAGGAATGCTACCTATTGAAAAGGAATACTCCTTTTGCTTAAGGAATGCCACACCCTTTGAATGAAAGTGCCTGTAAAGCCTGCTCTTGTCACTTAGAATTGGTTAAGCGAAGGATGCATGTTTGATCGTCTCTTGTAGTCATTTACAGTGTTTTCACTGCCTTTTTCAGGTTTGGGGAAAAGACCCAAAGTTGAAGGATCTTTTTCATATGGGTTGAATCACTACTTAAGGGAAACTTTGCAGAGAGGTTGAGGTACTTGGAGGTACGTAAATTATACTTAAGACATAGTTTGGAAGGGGTACGAACGAAGAGGTCCTAGGACCTCCTGAGACCCAGACATCATCCAAAGTATTGAGCCACTGCAGCAGTACAACAAGAGAGAAGCTACATAGTAAGGAAAAAAAGGCCTAAGAAATCTCTACCATATTGATCATCAGATAATATGTCTGCAAGATCTGAAGGTGTCCAGAATCCAAAATTTCAAGTGTCACAAAAAGGAATAAAACCACTGTAAAAACCAATGTAAAACTTAAAATTGACATTTGGCCACAGTGCCCTGCGCATTCTGTCAATGTTTGAATTAAAACCCTTTGTTGGGAACACAACACGGTAGTCGAAAACGCTGCAAATACCATCAAAATATGTCATTGTATCTACACATGAAGCATCATGACTCATGATGATCAAGCATCCAAAGTCTTCAAATCAATGAAAAAATGCTGGCTACTTTTGAAGGCAAAAAACAACAAAAATCATTGTAAAACACAATAAAAAATCGAAAACGGTAGGTCTCAAGGGGGGTTAGCACATGTATATATATATATACACATGCATACAGTATATTGTTTATGGTATACTGTATACTTATGTACACTGTATACACCATACATATACACCGTACATAGATGTATATGCACAGACATTATGTACACACTATATATCCGCACCCTATACACATATGTATATATTACTTTGTGTACATGTCTATATGATACACAAAAATACACACGCACGCTTGGTTTTGACAAATACGCACTACATATCTACACTATGTACATGCTATCCAAATATACACAATATATCTGTGCTATACGCACCTTATACAAATACACCAACTATCCTGTATGTATATATATATGTGTGTGTGTGTACATGTACATAATATATATATACATACATAGGTAGACACATTTAAAAATACATGTATACGCATGTATGTACAAGTGTATAGACTATGTAGGTGTACATGTGTATATGTACATATGTTTCTGTGCACATATATGTTAATTTTCAAGGATGATCAACGATGTGAACATATGAAGGTGTAAAGAAGCACATGCCATGTACACATAGATAAAGACACGTGTCCGTGTATATGAGTAAATAATTGCACATAGCTCCAGCTATCGAGGTCGGTGCTAGCGAACTCGCAGTGGAATTAGACCGGGTTGCGGACTCTTTCTCTGGGAGGCAAGGAGGGTTCTAGGAGTTTCAATCTCTAAGGAAAAAAACGCGTTTCAATCTCCCGAGGAATTTGTCATTTGTGCGCCTGGTGCAGGGTTACCGACGGCAAGGACGTGGACTTCTATTCTGACTGTATCCCTGGGCGCTTTTCCTTGGAACTCCTTTTGCTGCTGACTCATCCAGGAGTCATTTTTGTCATGCACAGATATATTGTTTGGAAATGTGGGGGCGCAATGCTTGGGTGCTTTGATGTTTTCTAACACTCCAGGATCATTTGATGGTGTTTGGAAGGTATCTCGGCACACAAAGATGGTACTTGTCTCCCTTACCTTTTGTCGTGCATATTAGATATTGTTAGATCAATGTTAGATCTTGTCAGCACCTGCTTCTTTAGGAAGGGGGTCTTCTTGACCGCAACTGGAAGATTTTCAGATGGCCCACCCTGGCTCAACACTCAGTGGTGTTTGCCTTCTCCAGATTTGCCATGATTTGCCAGTCCTCAGTTTATCGAAGTCTATCAGAGTCACATCCATCAAATTTGCTGTCCCCCATGCCTCGGACTTGCACAATGGCTCAAAACCATTCAAAACCCCACACAGCCTGCAATGAATGTCCCACACCATGTGCGTATGAGCAGCAGTGGAGTTGTGTGACTTTGTTGAAATGTCCACGAGGTTCGCACTGGGTGGCCAGTCTTTCGTTTGCTGCGACTCCTTCAAAAGCGCGCACAGGCAGCCTATTAAAGCCTTGAAACCTGAGACTCGAATGTTGGTAGACTCTAGTTGATTATGAAACGACGTCGCCAGGTGTCATTGGATATTTGTTGGTACAGTATAGATACGTCCTGCAGCCCGAATCGTGGATAGTGCTTCGCTTGAGTCTTCCATCTCATTTCATGCATTTAGATCCTCATAGATTCTTCTTATGACAGAAGGGGCCGTCTTGTCTTGCATCCATCAGTGCAGAAGAATGGCAGGTACAAGCCGGTGCGGATGCTTTTCCACACTGCCAGGACGTCCTGAGAGATCTTTGAGGACGCAAGACATTGCAAGATCTTAACACAGTGTTTCATTTCAGGATGATTTTGCATCTACGCTGAGCAATGTGCGCCATCGACAAGTTGATCAGGCTGCATCCCTGGCACAATACTCCTAGCCGGACCTACCGTTTGATACCTTTCGTCCAGGGGCAGACAACTCGTCTGTTGATTTTACCTTTGTTTACCTTTGTTTACCTTTCATATCAGAGTAGAAAATGGTAATGTTGATTTCTGGTGCAGGCAATTTTGGGTGCAAGTGTGTCCTTCCTCTCCAACTCATCCGGCCAAGACCTCGAGCAGTCTCATCCCCCTATGACAAGATCGACAATTTGACGACATGGATATGGTTAGATTGTGTGAATGTTATGACTACAAGAACCCAATTATCCAAAATGAAATCATGTGGAGTTGCGGATCGGGTGTTTGTCAGCTCTGTGCCAAGCACAATCAAACGGATTCGGTATACTGCGATTTGGTGCACAACGGCAGACATAAACTACCATCGGCTGGTGATGACAAAGAAATGAAAGAATGCAGAAACCTTGGGCGTAAGAAACAAACCGACATATGGGGCCCATATGCTCTATGATCTTTCGGGAGTGGTAAGGCGATGACAGGCGGCAGAAGCAGCAACTGCGATGAAGCAAAAATTTTGCAAACCTGGGGCACACGCTCCCCAGATCTCCAAAAAGAGTTATTCGATGCCGAGAAAATCATCACCTGGGAATCTGCCAGTCAAATTGTGGTTGGAAAGCTGGGAAAACCCAACCTGGAGAATTTGGCGAACCTTCAATGCCACATTGCCCGCGACGTCGCACCCAGTAACTGACACCTGCTTTTGAACAAGGGCCACAGCAATGCACCACAACCAGATCTATCAGCCCCCACATCATTACTATATCATACTAATCTACTGTATAGATTTTGTCAAAATACAAAAGCAATACAAATCCAAAATCTGTCCATGGCCCCACATTTTTGCAGTTTTATGATATCGAGATGCCCTGATATACGACATACATGCACTACATCTCCCACCCCATCCCCAAACCCTAAACTCCACCCCCCAAACCTAAAGGTCTGAACGCCGTTCAGACATTGTGAATCGGTCAAAAATATTGCAATATAACGTAAGTATACCCGTAATAGTATTTATTTATTGTATATATATATATGTATATATGTACATGATATATATATATACAATTATATACATATATATATGATATACATATATATATATATTATACATATATATATATATTATACATATATATATATTATACATATATTTATATATACATACATGCGGATCTAAGCGGATCCATAGAAAACAGTATACTGTATTTGTACGATGTGGTGTTGGTTTGAAATCGTCATCCTGCCAAACGGCACAGCACTCAACCTATAAGGATGTCAACTCTCGGCTGCTGCTGCTTGTTTGGTTGGAGCTTGGGTCGCTGGCCAGCAGTCTTACAAGGGCAGACAGACTTTGGCATAGTTTTGTACCAAGCTCATGAGACCCCTGGATTTGTACCAAGGTTCGATTCCCAGTGTATGATGAGGAGACAGAGGAGTCTAGCTTTCTATGACGTGTGAACCAGCAGATCCACGCAAGCACATTTGCAGGAAGATAATATATCGTTGTTTGGTTTGTACTTCTCACCAAGGTCAATCTTGATGTTGAATTCAATTCTTTCTTTGTTGTTAGTGTCCCAGTGCCCTTGTTTAGGCTTTTGCTTCTGAGACATATCCGTGACGGATGGTTTCTTTGCTTTGTTTCATTGCTTGAATTCGGCACTCTTTGAACTTTGAACTTATCTTGCCTTAGTGATGTTCAACCCGAAAGTGGAGGGCTCAACGGTTTAATGATGCCATCTCTGGATGGTATCGAAATGTATCGAACATGTTTTCTCGTCTCGTGTCTTCTCGTATATAGTCATGCTGCTCAACCCCTGAGCTGCTTATTCCTCGGTTCACACTGCTAGGCTTCCGCAGCTACGTATATACAGATATAAATGTCATAATTTATATGGTGTCAGTATATTTATATACATATATATATATATACATATGTATTGTATTATGCAAATAATACTACACTGTCCTATATTACTGTTTATGTGTATATATATATAATATCACAATGATAATCTATACGTCAGATAAGCATATACATGTATATTATGATATAGTTTCATATAGAATGGTTATATATATATAATACACAAGGAATGTGAGTGTGGGAGATTCGGCCTGAACAACAGGACTTGCTTTGCTTGGCAGAGCAGCTGATCCAGAATATGAGCACGAAGCCAAGCTGTGGATGTTGCCGTGCTGCGTTCACGCCTTTCTCCGGGGCCATGTTAGAATAGTTTAAAAACTCGAGTGGAGTGGAGCACGTTGACTCCCAAGCGCAAACCATCCCACCAAAAGCTGATTCGCACGATTACTTTTTCTACAGTGCGTTGGATTCTGTTTCTGCAACCCTCCACACCCATGTTTCGCACACGATTTCTTTGTGCAACATGTTCTGTGATGTGCCAATGTCAAAACGTCAAACTGGGATTGCATGCCTACGTCAGCAGATAGGGCTTTGATTGCCCATTTGGGCAAATGCCAATCGATTGTGCAATGACCACCTCTTGTGAAGGGTTCTTTGTATGAGACATCTAAAAGCAGCATTTCTCGAGTTATGCGCATTGTGAACTGTGGAGACGAGGTCTCGCACGCATTCTGGTTACAGAACACGGACTTCTTGACATGCTGGACGATGTGGCTGGCTCCTATCAGGACTCGAGCTGATTTGCGTTACCTTGCCTTCATCAGTCTTTAACTGGGTTAATTTACCAGTTTACTCCGGTCTTTTTTAGGCATTAATTCTGTGCAGGCATTTCTCATTGATTCTGGAGCTCTCTATGTCGTTGGACCCTCAAAGAACCGAGGTGGAAGTTTGAACCAGTCTTCCTGCGCGAGACATTGAACCCCGATGTGCTTACATAAGGATCTGAGAGCGAAAGAAGAGGAGAGAGCACGACGATCATGAATATGATTTTGCCTCCTATGTATATCCGTCAACCAGTCTCTTGAGGTGTGAACTCCAGATTCAATACCTTTGGCTGTTCCATTGCAAACGTGCTAACTCTGGATTTGACCCCTCGGATATGCGTGTCACAAGCGTGTAAGATGATACATCAAAATTACAGATTTTGCATCTATCAGTCTCTCAGGGTGGGGATCAATCACTCGAGGCACTCGAAGTAGAGCATTGTTTGTTTAATATGTTCAATGTTTTGAGCATTAGTTTAATGATTTCCGTCTCATGTTGTGATTGACCCTTGGACGGTTGGAGGAGTCAGAGGGCGTGATCGACTACACTCGCCACATGATGGCGACGAATGAAAAAACGAATGACGAGGCCGGAGGGGCCAGAGAGAATGAGAGAAGAATGAGAAGGATAAGAAAACAAAGTCGCAGTCGCAAAAGATAAGGATGAGAGAAGAGAACACGTAATAAACATCATGTAAATCGCACAAGACTTTGTCGCAAAAAGGCGTCGTCACAGACGTTTTCGTAGGTTGGGGAATGTACCGTGGAAGAGCAGACACCGCAGGAAACCCGGGGACTTCCAGGGACTCCTAGGGACTCCCAGTGACTTTCTGTGAGCAAAACCCGAGAAATTCCCAGAAGTGCTCAGAAGTGTGATGACAAGCCATGGCTTGCCATGGCTTGGCATTTTATGACATGTTGACTGAACATCGCCTAAGGCTGGGACGCTGCAATGCCTTTGCAGCTTTGGGCACAGCATTGATACCGTGGCAAAAGCAAGGCGTTGCCCAAGAGGACACCATACGAGCTCTACGTGCAACAGTGCGAAGTGCCGAACAGGACCCATGCTTAGCTCTATGTGATGCCATGTATATTAATGTATGCTATGTGATGCTCAGCCATGGACGCGCTGCTTGCATTTGAAGTGGATCACATGCACTGCTTTATTAAGCTTGAAGGAGCACTTTTTGCCTCATGCTATGCTTTTCCGCCTGGTCGAGCATGATGCAACAAGTGGTGAGCTGCGGCTACTGGCCCCAGAAGAGGTTGGGTTGCAGTGGTGGAATGCAGTATGTGGTTGGCCAACATTTGCTTGTCACGAGCGTGTTGAACTTGAGGTGATCGCAGACTTTCAACCGCTGGTGGATTGTTTGGCCGATATCTTTGTTCAAGTTTTATCCGCCGTCGGAGTTGTTGGGCTGAGGCGAGAAAAATTGCCGTTTTCTGCTATTCCTTTTGCGATCAGATAGGTATAGTGTTTTGAGACATTTGCATCGGTACGGGAAATTCATTTTTGTTTCGATCTCAGAATGATGATCAGCAGATTTGATAGTATACATTGAACAGTGGCTTCACTGATTTCTGTGAAGTTAATCTCTCATCTCTGCCATTTATGCTAGGCTTGAATTTGTCGTGAGCCTTTGGGACACGCCCATTCTTTGGAGATCAGGGACCTGGATGAGCCGAATTGGCCGCCGAGAGGAGTCGGTTTTGGTTTTTCGGTGTCGGATGCTTGCGAAAAGCTTGTACGGGCAGATGTTGAAGACGGTACCAGTGGTATAAAATAGAGCTGTTCCCTTGTAGAAAGCATTCAGAAGGCGGTACCTTTAGCGTTTAGTATCCGTTTCACAGACATTGGATTAAACATGCCACACTTCTAGAGCAACCTTCGATTAAAGAAATTAATGCTACACCCCACAGGCCCCACAGGTACTGCATCTGCCATGTCCGGTGTACATAATTTCAGTCATTCAAGACTTCAAAAAGGAGAAGAAGGGTGCTACTCAATTCATGCCAAGGCATGCCAAGGCATAAAAATCCACCCCCTGCTGAACAGTCATTGACAACTTTCAAAAGGAAAGGAATCATGGTAATTCACAAGGAAATAAAATTCTGACCCTTGTCAAACGGTTGCACGCTTGAGATAGGGAAATAAAACAAGAACTGATTTTGTGGACAGCAATTTGACCGCATCTTTACAAGGAGGATGTCCCCAGAGTATCTTTTTTTTGCAAAATACTGGCAGAAACACATAAAATGAGGGTTCCGTCAATCATCCCAAAGACGTTGGGGCATAGCACAAGTGGCCGACATGAGTTGCCAACCTCCAGGACGTGCCTCCGCCAGTCTTCAGCTTTTGCAAGAGCGCTGCCAGGATGTTTGAGGACGAGCTGAATCGAGCTGATTTCTCTGCCAAATTGGATGCCAGGTGACAATGCCACCTGGGACGTGCCACTTCCGGATGTTTGTCAACCATACCGCCAGCCTTGCAACAAGGCTAACAATCCAAGACAGCAGAAATGCAGATTATGTCAATATTTCTGGATGTTGCAGTTACAAACATAGTTACAACATGTTACAAACATATTCTCATACCGGCTTCCTGGCATCTCACATTGTGTGTATTCAAAGTGTTAGGTGCAATCTATGTCTGAGGAGGCCACACGTGTCACTGTCAGTGTGAAAAAATGATTACGGTTTTTGAATGTTTTTGACTCAACCACTGCATTCAGCGAAATTCAGCTTGTTTGTTCAGGAACAACAGTGCTACATCTTTCGATTGCTGCTTGGGCAACTAAATTGCTCGAGAGAGAGAGAGAGTTTTGGGAAAAGAGGCGTTAAGCCTGACATTTTTTGGCCAAGTCTGACTTCAAACTGCTGCTGCCACTTGCATGACTCTCATTGAGTCAAGTTGCCCCTTTCGCACCCTTACATCGTTTCAGGCTGAGTGCATATTCAGAGCTGCTTCGTTATGTTCCTCCAGGACATGCTTCGGAAGAACAGGCCTTCGCAGCTTTCCGAAATTATAGCTGCAGGGTTCGTCACCAATACGGTTTGTGATGGTCGATGAACTGTTACCATCTGTTACCAGTATTTGTAGCAGCTTGCGTTCTCTTGAATTTTGATTTCGATTGTGTTGTTGGCCTTGCGAGTTTGGGACGAACCATCCCAACTCTTAGTCAAGTCCAGATTTTTTTTCTTCCCATTCTTTTCATGCTTTGCCATGGTGCACTGCTTGGAGTGCAACTGTTGATATCTCGCGCAATTGCAAGTTCTCACTTTTGGAATATTCTGGAACAATGGCATCATTCTTTTCAGGCACCGCAAGAAGCAGGAAGTGTTTGTTGGTGCAGACACGGGTCAAGGCAGTGTCCTGCTGCTTTGCTAGGCCATGACTGCTGATGATCTGAGCATGGTGGCAGGGGTGTGGAGCCGAGTGTTGATTTGGTCAAGTTGAGAATCTCAATGTACGGTGTAACGGACTCTAATCCCATGTAAAACAGATAGAACTTATATTTTGTTCCTTTTTTATCCTTTTTTGCACTTGGTTTGCCACGGGCTGAGGTTTCAGTCGTGAGAAGGTGGCGTATTCAAACTGGTGAAGACCTAAGCGGCCTTGACAATACAATATTCTCGTGTCTTCACAGCTTTATAGATCACTTCGGATTCACTTTGGATTCTCTTGGTTCCTCGAACCTTGGTTTGATGCTCCAAGACCCTGAGCTGGAAGACTTCGTCTCCCGGTGTGCGAGGCAACTGATTTTGATGTTCACTCTGTCACTTCATGTCACTTCACACTAACAACTTTGGAAAGCAGAGTCTAAACTAGTAGGTCAGCAACTGTCGATGTGAAGTCCTTTGAACACCCTATGACAGCCTCTTGTGAACAGTTCGCTTTGCTATATATATATATTCTATTTTTCTCCAGCGTACTTGCTGGAATGCTTCTTGATTGTGAGGGTCCTCCAACAAGTAAAACCACTTCCAAGCAAAGAACCCTGGTTCTCATTTCCACCAGATGTTTTAGGCCTAGGTCCCTTGACTCTATCATGATCTATCATGCCATGAGCCAGGCTTATTGATGGAGCCGCTGAATAAATCTCTCGAGGTCATGACATGTCATGACCCTTGCCTGGCTCATTTGGTCATTGGTTTACTGCAGATGCTAAGTGGCGACAGTGGCGATGCAGATTTGCTACATTTTCTTGCCTCGAGATCGCACAGATGAGAATGAGAAGTATGAGAAGGTGCAGTGCAGAAAGCTCATTGACCTCCACAACTCAAAACCGACAATGAAGATGACTCAGAGTCGAAGCCAGGATTTTCATCAAAAAATATGGAAAAGATCACTCGTGTGATGCAAGGTTGCAAGATGTTGAAAGTGCAGAACTATGCAGAACCCTACAAGCTGGCAATGGTGGACATTCTTCCTGCACATCTAGCCGAATCTAGCCTGAGAGCCGAAAGATATGAGACGTGCAAGGTGGACCTGCTGGAGGTAGATGTGGGAGATATTTGTAGGAAAACGCTGCCGAATTCAGATGTTTGCTGCACAGCCAGAAAGGATTTGGCCGAAGCTGGAAAAGACCGCAAAACTTATAAAACTTGCATTTTAGTCCAAATCTTTCTTTATGCTTCTTTCAGATGACAAGGTCCACATCAAGACTGAAATCTGCAACCCTTTGGCTTCAGTGCGCGCACGTTGGTTTGGCACGCAACACGTACATGACATTGACCTAGACCAAGGCATGCCTGCAAACAACAACAAATAAGAACTGTCGCAAAAGAGAGCAAGCTACCAACATCTACCAACTGTGTACTTGGGCGGCGGTGAGGGTTGCCAATCGCCTTAGACATACCATGCTTTCTGGAACCACAAACTAGAAGCATATACCTGTCAGAAAACCAGACAGACATTGGGAATGGATTAACGCAAACACATTGGAGCCCTGAAATATGCTGATGTAGATGATGTAGTAAAGTATGCCAATCTTTGACTCCAGCTTCAAAAAGTGTGAAAGTACGAGATACGGCAAAGATCGGCGTAGGCTCCTTTCAAGTGTCCGCGGCGCTCTGTAGCGCTGTGCCGCTCAGCCGTTGCATCTTGCTTGATACTGTCCTTTAGCCATGAACATTTTGAGAGTAGAGGAGGAAACAGTATCAATATCGCAACATCGTGTAAATGTTGAGAAAAAGTCTACTTCGAATAAAGACAACAGTGCACGCGACCCTCTAAAACTCTGGATTTTGAAAGCGTTGCTGGCAAGACTAGCACTTTGGATGTGATAGAACCCCTTCAACATGTTTGATAGGCCTTGTTCATGTGCCATGCTGGATCCCCCACATCGTGTGACGTGGTGCCATGACGAAATCTTTGAAGTCAATTTGAAGTCTCAAGATTCTCAAGAGCATTGCTGCGAGAAAGAGCTGCTCTGACAAACACTTTGAGGTCAGCCTGTTCCACCTGCTGTACTGCCTCCCCTATGGTACAGAAAGGCCTTGTCCTTGTCTCGTCATATTTGCAAAGGATCTGGCAGTCGACTATTGCCGAAGCCAAAATCCAAATCTATTTTCTGGATTTTTGATGATTTTTGCCTTTGCTCAACTTTGTTCCTGAAACGATGGTCAAAGTGTCAAAGTGGAATCAAAGTGGGTCAGATTCTTCGCTAAGGCCATGCATTTCGTGGTTTTTGCGCGGCTTTTTGGGTCGTGCTTTTCCAGGCAAAGTACTTGATGCATCTTGATGCCTTGCACTCTGAGAGATTGCACACAGCTTGTTCGTGCTGGCAGGGTTGTATAGCACCTACGTTTGGTCCACTCCCAAGTCCACAGAAAGTTGGCGAACTTTGTGAACATATGTGAAGATGTTGTGAGCATGTTGTGAATTGGCTGATTGGATTTCTTTGCAAAGCCTGGATTTTCCGATGCGTGCAAGACATCATGACCCGGAAATGAGGGTGCTCCAAATGTCCTCACCCTTGTGGATGTGGCTAGGCAGAAAGGTTCCCTGAAGAAAAAAAGAGAAGACATTAAAAGAATTAAAGGACAAAGAGCAAGAGAAAGACAAAGCACAAATAAATACAAATGAAACATGAGAAAACATAGGAAAAAGACAAGCACACATTTTCCTCCATGGGAAGGCATATGATGCATATTTACCACATAGAAACAAAACATAACAAAACAATGTTACGACATGTTACGACATGTTACGACATGTTACGACATGTTACGACATGTTACGACATGTTACGACATGTTACGGCATGTTACGGCATGTTACGGCATGTTACGACTTTAGTATAAATTAAATGCAACGGGGGAGGGCCGGAGGATGACTGGAGACCTGTCTCACATTTAGACATGCAGTTGCTGCCATTCGAGCTCCTTCTTGTGGACTTGCTGACTTGCTGCCTTTCATAAAAGCATGTGGGCTGTGTTTAGAGGGGAGACGAGTTGAGATGAGCTGCACAGTGTTAGGTTGAGTGAGCCGGTTTAGTCGGGTTTGCTAGCGAGCAAACAAGTGACTGATGTAGTGCTCCTGCGAGCTCTTTTGCCTTTGAAGGTCCCTTTAAACGCATTGGTCGACATGTCAAACTGCTTGACAAGCAACATCATTCTTTATCTAGTTGTGAATTAACCACGATTAACCTTTGGCCTTCATGATGAAATTAGAGACACGATGTTCGTGAGGCTTCACGCACCAAGAAGGAATGCATAGTTTTCCAAAAAGCATCTCCACTACAGCTCTTCCCAATGCATCACAAGAAACTGGATCTTGACTGTCGTGACTAGGTTGCCGCATGCGTTTGCTCAGTTGAAATGATTTTTGTGACAGTGCAGAAGTTTTTGGATCACTTTGCATATTTTACAAGGCCAGACTGCTACGGCACAGGCTTGGCCCTGTACCTCAGGGTCTGGGCAGAAGACAACCTTTGGATACCTTTGGTTTGTGCTGCAAATGTGCACAGTACATGACAGCATTGCTCTCCAAAACGGTTAGACCTACATGCATCCTGCCATATCCTGCCTCATTTTGAACAGCGGCTCCCAACAATGGAGATGGACACCCGTGTCACATGAACTGTGTGACGATTCTGAATTGTGGATCACACAACTGCCACAGGTGTTGGATGGAAGGACAGAAGAACCTGGAACAGCAAGAGTCTCAGCTAGCAGGTCACCAGCTCTCAGATGTCTAGGTCTAGGCGCCATCAGAATTCCAGAATTCTATGGGCTTTCAGCCCTTGTCCAATCCATGCTCGCACAAGATGTGAAGCTAGCACCGCCAAGAAATGCCTCGAATCTGCGATAAAGGATACATGATACATGTCACAATGGCCGCAACATCTGAGTAAAGCTAATATCATAAAGCTATTATCAAAAAGATCAAAAAGCAATTATCATAAAGTCATTGTCACAAAGCTATTGTCCAAAAGCCACTATCCTAAAGTCGTTGTCGTAAAGCTATCGTCGTAAAATGTTGTAAAACTATTTTAGAAGGCTTCACTAGATGGTAGCTTCAAATAAGCGAGGCAACTGCTGCCGCGTTCTGTGTGTCGCCATTAGATTAAATTTGGACGGTGCTCAGTATGTAGAAAGAAATTCAATCAGTTGATGTGAAAAAACTTTGCAGCGCCGCCAGCTTCACTGGGCCCTGGCTGTCATCCTTGCACTGATCCTCATCGCTGGGCTATTTCGGTCATACCGCATTCTCAAGCAGGCGCAGATATGCGTAGACGCATGAGGATTGCAGTGCAATAGACGGAATAGACTTGAGAGAATTTGTGATTTTTAGATACTTTTAGCATGTTATTTTTTCATTACGGCGTTCCCAATCCATCTCAATCCTCGCCCAGACGCAGAACCTGACGGTTGTCAGACATGCACCTGAGGCGCGGGCGGTTACGGGTCAAGAGACAAAAAAAGACTCTAGAGATGAAAAGTGCTAAACGAATTGAACAGATGATTTATGGATAAGTACAGCAGATTGCTGCACATCCCAGTGGATCTTGTGGTTTTGCTCCTTGTGCGCAGGGAATGCGAATTGTCGAATGCGGTAACTGCCGAACTCCGCAGCGCTGAGCTCATTCTGTTTTTGAACTCTTTTCTTCTTGTAACAGCTCAAAATTGGTCATTCTTTGAACCCCGCTCCTTGTGTAAGTGTAAGGTACGTGAGTGCGCATGGGCGCATCTTCATATGTTGCGGATGCCATTGTGCAAATCGAATACCTTTAGATACTGGGCGAGCAGAGGTGCCCTGCTCAGACGAGTGGATCAAGAATGATCAAGTATATAATGATTCAACAATCAAGCATAATCAAGCAACCCTTATGTAGGTAGTGACCAGGTCAACACGCGCAAAAAAATCCATAGAGTTGTGGCTTTGAGCAAAGTGAAGCATCTGCAGGAGCTGGTTATTCCAGAAGGTCCTCTGAAGAAGTTCGAGTTTAAGAAGGGTGGTGAAAACTACTGGCAGGAGCCAGCCTGATGTTTTGTTCACGTACGACATATCTTCACATGTAGCATCAATGTTTGATTCACTATCTCAGCCTTCTTGCCTTAAGCTGTTCATACTCGTTGCAGCCACTTGGCCCAGCAGTCGGCTCAAGAGCATCGAGCATTGAAAACTAAGTGAAATGGCCGAAATGACATCCCATTGAACTGTGAGACCTTGCAGCCCCCTTTGGGTTTGTTTGTCCTGGACTGTTTCACATTTAAGCAAAGCGAGGATGCAACAGCATGCAGCAGTGGGGGGAAGTGACAAGAAGTGGCAAGAAGCGGCAAGTGTACTCTGCAAAGATTGGAAGGTTGTTCGACTTTGTTCCACTCCCGCAAAGATTGGAGATGCCCCAAAGCGCCCTCTTCAACGCTCGAAAGAAATGGCAGGACCAGACATTGAGTTCATCAGGTGATGCAAAGTGTGTGGAGCATTGCATTTCTGTTGGATGTTTTCGTGTCTTTGTCATGCTTTGGCTGGCATTGGCAGGAAGCAGAGGCTTGTGGCTTAGAGGTCGTTTTCATTGGAAGACATGAAGCTTTGGACAGATGTACCTAGTCGGGCATCCGAGGCCAGAGTTACGCAGAAGAAGAACAACGCGCGCAATCTAAGAAAGCAGAGACTTCGCAGAATTGGAATGTATTGGAATGCATTTTCCTGGAAAATTGGATGCCGTTGATACGTGGCGCATGCAAGTCCACCTAAGAATCGAATCTACACTTACGTGGCTAGTGTTACAGATCTGGTGCCAAGTGCAGTGCCAAGGAAAGAGCTTCCAGATCGGGAGCACTGGGAGGTGGGGGACAAGCTTGGTGCCGCACATACTGCAAAAATCTGCAAAACATCTATGAACAAACAACGAGTCCACGGGTCCTGAGATTGAATCTAGGTGGTCTAGCTGACTAGACATGGTCCCTTCGTTATTCGAGCGTGGATTACACGTCCCTCAAAGGGCTAACATTTGGCTTATCAACCTATCAACTCGCAAAAGTCGAGCGTTGGAATTGCATTGGTTCAGACCAGAACTAGCTTGTTTGTTCTTGTTTGCAAATTTGCTCAGCCAGTGAAGCCAGGCTCTTCTTGTGAGCGATTGGCAAAATCTCATCGAGGCACCAGCTAGTGCTGAGCCCTAAGCTTCAGTCTGGCACAAGATCACGCACTTGGAACAAATTCCACACGGGGAAGTCTCTATCCACTTTCTGGCTATGAGGTCAAAGCTGACTTTCAGTGCGTTGAGATCGCTGCGAATCAAACGTGGAAGGCCAAAAAGACAAACATGATCAAAAACGCAGTTTCTTGCAGCAAACGCCAGAGCTGGAGAGAGACTGACAACTTGCCTCAACAGCGTTTTCAGACGAGGCTCTCCAATACGCAGCAGATGAACTCCGTGACGATCCTGTCTTTGTGCTTCCGATTGTGGAGAGGTGTTGGTGGGTTGGAGCCTTTTGCGCAGAATGGACAAGTCTCCCAAAAAGCGGCAATGCGATGCCATCTTCAGTTTTTGCAATTTTGTCCTTAAGGCTCTTGAATGCCTTGGTGAGAATGCTCGAAGAGATGAAGAAGTGGCTATTGCTAGACCGACTTGATTGATCTTTGTCGCTTGTTTGTTGTAGCATCTAGAGTGCGCACATGTTGGATTTGTTTGGAGATTTGTCGATGTACAAACTATACTACCTATCACGGCCTATCACGTAAAAAAACATGTACCATGTCCTGCTTTGTTCGTGCTAGGCTGCCTTGAGGCAGAGCAGCCGGGCATTCGAGCTAAGCGCTCAGACACAACAAGTCAGCCAGACGGCAGGAACATGAGTTTTTACATAGTTTACTGTAGATAATTTTGGCAACATGACATCAAGGAACACACGATTTATACTTGCTTGTATATATATATACATACATAAATATATACATACAGGACACATGTATGAATATTATATTATATATATTATATATATATTATATATATACATATACAGAGTCTGCGTGAGTGTGTATTGTAGCGCATGTACATACACAATGCACAATACAACAGCAAACATTGATAAGATAAGATTAGATTATTTAGATTAGATTAGATTGGATTGAAAATGGTAAGAGAGGATAGATCACTACGAGAAACGATAGATAGAGATCAAGATGCAGACAGAGAGTGTGCAGGGGAGCACCAGAATTCGCGACATCCACAAGCTCACTAGCATTGAAAGCAAAGGGCCGTAACACGGAAATCGTATAGTTTACAGGCATGTCCCAACGACTGAGCTACGCTTGCACTCCTAAAATTGCGCGCAGTTGTACGGCCACATAAGCCACATAAGCTAGATTGGATCGAGCTCGTCCACAACAGCGCAGTTTTGCAGCCAGAGTTCAAACGAATGCCAAGAGCCTTTAAGCCAAGCCGAATTGTCATACAGATGGTACAGGAATCAGCGGAATCCTCAGATCACCAGAGATCCACCCATACTTTGCAACATTTTGCAACAAATGCAACCGCAAAAAGGACAAGACAAGGGACCAATATAGGTCACTCCAACCTGGCTCTAGATGCTCTAGAATATTCTCAGAGGTCAAATCACGTACTTGGCCGGCTGTGCGAGGCATGGTCGCCCCCTCCAGTCAATCCTCATGCAATTGGCAAGGAATGCTTTCATCAACAGACCCCAGAAATCAAGGCGATTTTATCCACAGAAAACAATGTTCAACCTTGAGCTTGGGAGAGAGGTTTTAAGACGTAACATCATTCCTTTCTTGTGAAACCAGTGTCCAGGCACACAAGATCACAAACCGCGGTGTCCTTTCGGTAACGGAAACTTGTCCCAGTCCTGTTTGTGGATCATCACATTGATGATGAAATGTTTCGATCAGATGAATTTGTAAATGAACATGTTTACCATGTTTTGTCACAGTCCTCTTTTCCGCGAATCCCACCCCACCCCAAGCTAATCGCAAGGAAGCAGTGACGAATTCCTGGTGGTATACCCGGTACATCCCTGTACGGTTTATCCAACAAGCCCAGCGTATTGCAAAGCGCTCTCAAAGTACCTCTACTGGCCTCTACTTATGTCATGGATACATACACGCATGCACACGGCCAGTTGCGTGCTTGCACAATCATGGAACAATAATGAACAACATGACAATATGACAAAATGGAATAATCAAATCATTGAATCAGCACAAAGTTTACTGCATGGGGTCGTCATGGGGCCTGGCCAACATGTCTCATGGCAGTCACGTGGCTATGAATGCTATGATGCGCGTCTGAGGTGTCTTCCATCTGAACTTAGAGAGGATCTCATAACTTTGCAAGAGGCGGTAAGTGCGGACCCCAGGAAATAACATGGCCCAATATGGCCCAATGCATCCTGTCGAAAGATAGCAAAAGAATATGCAAAAGATAGCAATTTTGGAATATCTGCATTCTGCGCAAGCCCACAATTTTTGGGGCGCCAGAGGTGAGTGACTTGCCAAAGTTTCCATGAAGTTTCCATGCAATTTGTGCAAAGGAAGTGATGGAATGGCATTACGCTATGCTTCCCAGGAGACATGCAGTCGGCAATTCATACATTGCAGAGACGTGAGCAGATCGTTCCTGCGGAGCCTTTCCAGGATCTTCGTGCCGATCGAAATCTGGTGGAGGCCGCATTGGATCATATTGGATCTCATCGCTCTTCACTGTTTCACTGGGCTTTTCACCTTTTGATTATCTTTTGATTCTCCAAAGGAGGCAGTTCGCAGAAATGGGGGTGATGCGTTGCAGTATGCTACGGAGGACTTCGGCTGTTTGAAATCTTTGGAACATTTGAAGTGAAACTCAGGAAACCCGAGCAGGAATTTCCATGCATTCCTGTAACAATTCCCGTCGTTTCACCTTCTCTATCTAGTTAGGAGCTCCGAAATGAGCCAAAGCTCGTGATGCAGGAGTGGCAAAGCGTTGGCCGATTGTTGGGTAATTTTAGCCTTGTTGTGCGCGCATTCGACAACGCTGCTGGGAAGAAAACCTGTAGGCTTTGGAGGCGCCAAAGGGTTCGCCTGGTTCTCAGGACTTCTTGCTGGTACCTGCTACTGTATTTGGTAGTGGTTGCTGCTAGGATGTGACTGGACTTTTGCAAATTTTATTGTTGTCTGCTGTGGTCTGAACCGATTCTTGGACGCCGGGAATCCCCCAGACGTGCTGCTGAGATCTAAAGCTTTGGCATTCTCCGCCAAGTTGGCTGCGGATCGAACCTTTGTTATTCAAGTCTTGGAGCCAGAGACCCAGCAGAAACCAGAAGAGATACGCAACGGATCGCAACGGTTCTTTGTGTCGTGAGAAGTCTAGAGAAAATCAAAGAATCAGCGAACCAACGATGCAATCATGTCAGTGACTGACCGATGGAGGTGCAGGAAGCGGGGTCATCTCAGAACGCCAACAAGTTCATTTTCGGATGTGGGATTTTGGTCATTTTGGAATGCACAATGGTTCTGGATTCCTTGATTCCTGGTTTTTGCGTTTCTGGTTTCTGAGGTTTCCTTGGTTTGTTTTTTGGTTTTCTGGGTTTCTGGGAGTTCCTTGGCTTCTGGGTTGCTGTTATTTTTGGTTTCTGGATTCCTTGGTTTCTTGTTTTTTGGTTCCAGGTTCCCGGCGTTCTGGGTTTCTGCGTTGCTCGGTTTCCGGGTTGCTTGGTTTCTTCGTGTTTGGGTTTCTGGTTCTTGGTTTCCGGATGTCTTGGCTCTTGGTTTCGAGTGTCTTCTTGTTGTTTCCCCTGTTGCTTGGTTTGTTGGGTTGCAGGTAGTTGCAGGTCGTTGGTTTTCCTGATCTCTGGGTTGCTTAGTTTTTTGGCTTTTGGGCTTCTAAATCTCCGAGCAGTTTTTGTTTCCGAGATGTTGTGAGATGTTCTGAGACCTGTCAGTTTGGCTGCCTGGTTCCTCTGGTCTTCTTCTGGTTGGCTTCTGACTGTTTTTTCCTCAGCTTTGGAGAAAGAAAGACAAATGATGACTTTCTGAGGGCAGCTTTGTCTATATAGTATATAGATATCTACCCTTGTAATCCCTTGTATGCTTTGATGTTTCATGTTCTGTACACAACTGTTGGCGTTCCCGTATGCTTATTGAATCACAGAGCAGAGGCAGTGTATTACTTGGATGTGGGGCGCAAGAGCGTTTTTTTTTGAAGCTGTGATGGATTGCTGTTCCAAAATGACCGTCGTTGGTGCTCCGAAATGCCGGAACTGTGGTGTTTCAAAAGTGTTCGAAATACTCTATGAAGGAAAAAGATAATCCCTTCCAGACACAAACAGAACAGAATGATCATGATAGGACTAGTCGCTTCAATGAATTATGTTCACTTGCGGCTCATGGCTTTGTCAAAAGCGGCGAGCCAATACTATGAAAACTCAAGGGCTTCCATGTATTGCTGCCTCTCTTTGGAAAAACTGTGAGGAAAGATGGCCTCAGTTTGCAATACGTCGGATTCTCAATGCGATGCTTTCCACATGGAAAAAGATTATGGTACCAAGATACTGGAGGCAGACTGCTGATTGAGACTGCTTCTACTCTTACTTTCACAGCTCACCTGTCACCTCACCAACGATTTCTATTGAACAGCTATCACGTTTTCCTCTCTTCAGCTGATTCAATTGTGGAATTCTTGCCCTTTGTTTTTTGGATGCAAATTCAAATGTGCCAGAGCCTGGACTGCTTAGGGCGTGTTTTGCGATTTGCAATCGTCATTTGCATATATAATAGAATCAATAATCACATGGCAGGTATTATTCGCATGCTTTTTGCAAAACAAGGTCTATACTGCTTTGTCGCAATCCGACAACTTTGTGCTGTGATGTTTCTCTTCAATCACAGTCTTGGCTTTTTGAGTGTTTGACCCTTTTGAAAACGCTGGCAGCTAGTTCTGGTGAATTACATGCTGCTTTGCGGAAGTAAATAGTTGCCAGTCATGCCAGTCAGGGGAGGTCCTGCTTTCAGTTTCTATACTGCTCCGCTCTTTTGTTCATATCCGCCAAACCACCCAAGTCTTCCTTGCAAAAGGCAAAAAGGGAACCGAACGCGCTTTTTATTTGCTTATGTTCTTGAACGCCTCACATGCATAACATGCTTTGTCATGGCCACAACTACATCTCGACCTAATTGCCAAATTGCCCCAGAGGAACGCGTTGTTGTCAGCAAGATTTTGACCGATTGGCTTGGCTACGCTTTGCTTAATTTGGCCTGACACCGTGTAGCAAGGATTTGGGAGGCTGCCTAGTGAAAGAAAGAACATGAAAGAAAGATCGAATCAAAATGTGAAGTTTGGAGGAATCTGGCATGCATCCTTGCTTGAAGCAATTCCAAGAGCTTGCAAGAACCAAATCCGCTGACACACAGTCTCACGGATGTGAGAAAGGTTGCACCAAGCCTCAAAGCGGACCCAAGCGTGGTGCTGGTTGTTCCTTGGCGCAAGGCATGTCTTGGCACATCTTTGGCACATCTTTGGCGCAGGTGTCATCAGTTGCCAACAATTCACGTGAGATTTGTCACATTCGTCAGATCGTGTTGTGTCGCGCTGTGTCCCGTGAGACCCGCGAGACCCGTGAGACACCAGGCATTGCAGCAGAATGGCGAGTCTCTACAATTTGCACCAGACAAGTTTCGGGAGAGTCGCAAGGTGGGAAGATGTGGGAAGTGCACGGCACAGGTTTAGACTCTTTAGACCTTCAGGAAGCGTTGTGACCCAATCGGGACGGTCATTCGTGGATTTTTAACTTAAAGGGCAATAAGGGCATTTCACTCACCTTCCAAGGAAAGGGCAACACATGCTTCAAACATCTTCAAACCTCGAAGTTTCTATCGTTGATTCATTGTTGCACTCACCTGTGGGAGCAACGATATGTAACATGATGTAACATGATGTAACATGATGTAACATGATGTAACATGATGTAACATGATGTAACATGATGTAACATGATGGAACATGATGTAACATGATGTAACATGATGTAACACTGTTCCAAAAATGTTCAAAAAATGTTCGAAGGTGGTGGAAGTGGCGGTCAAGCAAAATCCCAAAGCCGTTCGCTTCGCTTCTGAAAGTCTCCGAGAGGACAATTCCTTAAAGCAAAAGCACTCTGTTGAAAGAGGATTTCGCAGGATGGTTGTGAAAGATGTTTGACAATTGGGATCCATTGAAATCCATTGAACATGTTGAGCAACGTTCTCCTAGAGATGTCAAGCGCAGGACGAAGAGTTTGTCAAGGAAGTTGCTGAAATTGATGGCTCGGTCCTGCAGTTTGCATCGGAGACTTTGTGTGCCGACCCTGGAAGTTCTTGCTTGACACGCATGTGCCGCATGTACTTCTGATGGTCATCCAATTAAGATCAATTAAGGCATCTAGAGGGTATGGACCGAATGGACGGAACACTGAACTTGTCATCGTGTGAGGTGGCAACTGGCGTGTTGCTTCGAAGGCTGTTGCACAGTCCTGGGAAGCTCTCCCGTTCGAGCAGGTGTGTGCAGGGGGTTTGTGGAACATGTCATTGTTTGCATCCACACCAAGGAAAAGTTTTGATTGTTTTTTGGACGGGCTTTTAGCGCCAAGTGCGTAAGCCTGGACACATGGTTGCTGACAACAGGATTGAATAGCAAACCATTAGTGGTTAGTGGGGGTCAGATGGGGTCAGCCTGTTTCTGATTGTTTCTTCAGGTGGATGGAGGCCTCTCCAGAGAGGTCTTGCTGGGCTCTGTCAAGCAGGATTTTTGAGCGCTTTTGGCTTGCCACTCACGTCGTCATACACACTCCATCTGTGTAGTTGCCCTGGACGCACGTCATGATGTGTTAGGACTGGAGAGCCATCAAGGAGATTCTGCAGAAAAGCCCAGTGCCGCAGGACTCAATGAAACACAGTGCCTTTTGTACTTCGCACATCTTCGCACATCTTCGGCACCAGAAATTTGACACATCTCTTTTCAAGAACGCAGGACTTCTTGGTGGAAGCAGCTGCCATCAACCCTGAGATTGTGAGGGCACAGCAGCATTTTCCTCAGGATGGCTGAAGCATCTTCATATCATTCAATTCCATTCTGAATCTTTAGCGTGAAGGGCGTTTGGGTCACTCTGTCACAGGTTGCGTGGCAACAAGGAAGTAGCTCTTACAGCTTTATCTTTGAATGGCCTCATGCTGTGCTGATCCCAGCGCTTCAGAACGTCGCTTTTGCATGGCGGCCTTTGACTCGTATGCCGTTGAAAGAATCTCAATTTGCTCGTGAATCAGGCACTATTTGCTTCCAGATCTACGCGCAGACCCGGAGCTGGTGAGGGTTTTTTTGATGTCGTTTAGCTGCTCTTGACGCGCTCCCCATTCTGGAACATCTCCGCTTTGTCATGGACTTCTACGGAAATTTTGACGGAATGATATATTGTGATATATTTGCGAAATTATTCATGGGGCCCGCACACCCTGGGTTTGTGCAGGCGTCGGTTGCAATCAGACAAAATCCTGATGCAATGGGAGAGGTTCATCCATGCCTTCGCATTATCCTCGGTTTTTTTTTCAGATCATTTTTGTTCGTATTGCTGTGCAATGGTCAATAGTAGTCATCCAGAGACCTTACCTGGGCAAGTTGCAAATGTGGATAATGTGGCAAGGTCGAGAGAAGGATTTGCTCAACATCCAGACTGAAGGCTTGGCAAGGAGGGCTCGATTGGAGCTTCGCAGGACTGCATGGACTGCATCTCAAATGCTACCTATAGTGGGTGTATAGTGGGTGTATGTGGGTGTATGTGGGTGTACCCTGAGATTCAGTGAGATGTCGAAGATTTTGATGTAGAAGTCTGGTCAAGATGGTCACGTCAGTATCATGTACCAACATGATCCAACATGTACCAACCGTATGACATGGCATGACATCATGACATGGCATCTCGAGTCTGCAGAGTGAGCTGTTGAAGCCAGACTTGCATAGCATCCTTTCAGCTGCCAATGATGGGATGTTCGGGGTCGGTCACGGTGTCACGGCAGTTATGCCAACTTCTGATTTTGACTTTGCTGGTCAACATATCATGTAGTTGTCTCATATCGTCGTCCGTCGTCCCGTTTCGATTCGCCCCCTTCGTCCATTCCTTGCTTCATTATGTTTGATTGCGAGGATGAAAGCTGAAGCAGCTGCTGCTGAGGCAGCACAAGCCATGCAGGAAGCAATTGTGCCAGATGCAGATACCGCTGCAGATGCAGCTGAAAATGCAGCTGCAGATGCAGCAGCAGATGAAGCGTAGTGTAACAGTGTAGGGAGTGTAGCTTAGTGAGGGTCAGTCAATGACTATGCAAAATCTTGCCAAGTTGCCACTGTCGGCGATTGAGTTTGAGCCTTGTCTTGATGGCGCTCCTAACTCTGGAGCCAAGCTGTCAGGGAATACTTTTCTCCAAGGCTGTACATATTGACAGAATCTGACGACTTTGCTGAGTGGAGATCCAAAAGGTCCGCATGTTTGTCATTGCCCCATTTTGATCCATTTTGTCTAAAAAAGCGTCACGGTATCATCTCTGTGGTAGGCTATGGTCTAAAGGGACAAACCTGCTTTTTTCGGGGGTCCGTACGTTTACACTGATTGGATTTCCAAAAGCACGGTTTGTCCAATTGTATGGCGCATAAAATGAAATTGGCAAGTCTCAGGCATGCCAGAGCCCTCAACAGCATTCAGCGGAAACTTAGTTTCAGAAAGAAAGACCCTGCAAGAAAATATCCCAGACCAGCTTCTCAGTCCCAAAGCAAGTCCCGGAGGTTTGCTTTGATCCAAGTATGTCGCCATGCAAATTGATTCCGATGTTGAAGAAGAACACATTTGAACTGTAGAATCAGACCGGCGTCATGCAAGGTCGCAAAGGAAGGCATCACGCAGACATGAAACGATCCATCCAATTCAACCGAAGCAAACAGAAACAGACGGAGACTTGTGTCAGGAATGAGCACGTCCAAAGGAAGACTACAAAATGCCTGTACCGCCATTGTAAAGCTGTTTAATAAGCTCGTTGGAAAGCCTTGCAAGCAATAGCCTTTGCTTCTCAAGCCCTCTCAGTAAGCCTTGCACAAATGCTGACTCAAGCACATGCTGTCTGGAGGAGGTTAGTCAAGAAGAGCTAGAGGATGGTGTCCCTGGGCAGAAACAGGTGATGACAGCTCGCAACGTGAGAGCAAATCAGAAAAAGATGCAAATCTGCAAATCTGCCAGTTGCTCAGCAGACTTGGCTGAGGCTGAACTTGCCCTGACACCCTCGCGACCTCAAAGAGCGTTGGAGGACTCAAGCGTATATATGGAATTATATGATATGTATACATTATTATACATTAATATGTAAGATCGTGCACACACATGTATATATATACATATACATACACACACACACATGCTTCGCGTTTTGCTGCCCGTTTTCGCGTTTTCGCGTTTTCGCGCGAAAATGCCGCGCATCACCGGGGCCGAGACAGACACATTTCCTGCACAGCACACACACACATATATATATATACACAAACACACCACACATCTAGGTAGCCCACAATGAAAATGGAAGACTACAAACAGATCAAAGCCAAACGGCAACCTCGCGTTTCACTGCTTTCATGCATTGCTACCTTCAGGAGGATGTCAACACAGTAGCACCTTCTTTGATTGGCAAGGCTGACCTTGGAACAGACACTATGATAGCTTTGTCATGCTTTGTCATGCTTTGTCCATTTTTAAGAGTGAAGAGCATGGTGCCCTCGCACTGCTGTGCTCGGCGTATGTATGTCGGAGTAGAACCGCCTGAAGGTGGATGTTGAAACTGCTAGCAATGCAGAGAATGGCCTACCGCAGTGTGTCAGAGCCTTGGGGCCTTGAGAAAGATGACTGTGCCGAGTGTGCCTCATGTTTTTGACTTTGACATAGTTTGACTTTGACTGTGTCAGAGCCAAGGTGGTTTGTTTAGATGAGATTGGGAACATGGTTCTACTTCCATGTGCTCATGGAGGCGTTTGCGAGGACCCTTTGCAAGTCCAAGAGGATCAAAACCTCGCCTGACCTGGATCTCAAACTGGATCTTCACCTGGCTCCTGGCAATGAAAAAAAAGAACCGGATCATCAACATTGCTCCAAGTTGCTTCAGGGATTGGTGTCAGAATATGAATGTGAGAGTAGTGAATCTCATCCTGCAGGAATGCACAACTCGCATTGTCCAGAATCGCGCTTTTGGCGGTGCTCACTGCCCTCATTGCAGCCAGATGCCATGTTTTCACAGTGGCACACACACACACAAACCGACAAACCTAAACAGTTATTCAAACTGGTGCAGAAGAGCGGCCTGAACGGATCTCATCCACTGCTTTCCTAAGGATCTGCAATCAGTGACTTAGCTGCAATTGTTTCAGTCAAGAACCATGTAACCATGCAACAGGCAGCTTCATAGGGAGAGGGCCGAGGGTTAGCCGGAAGTAGCCAAGGGTCAGAAAGAAACTAGCCAGGAATCATGTGAAAGATAAGATTCTGCGGTCTCACGGTGCTCCATTCTTCTGCTTGGGTAGTGTGAGGCACGATTGTGAAGCTTGAGGAGGCCTTTGGACGGAACAGGATGGAACAGGTTGATTGCAAGGTACAGTAGTATGGTGGTTTGAAACGTATCCATAGGTAGCATATACAATCCAGTTGACAAAACTTTGCAACAATACGCCATAGCTCTGTATTGGCATGCAACGGATTCATTTGTTTTTGTGTTTTTTCCAGGACCTCTGAACCTGTACATACTAGTAGAGTGAAACATTGTGTTCGAATACTTGGGCTATTGGGTTAGCATGAGATAGGGGTCTATATAGATACCTTTGCCATGCTTTGCCATTGAACTAGCTGAATGAATGCCGCTTGGGCATAGGTAGAAGGCGCGATGGCAAAGGGCATCGAACTTCGGATACCTATGGCCAGACCTGTCTCATAGCTCGGAGGCAGCGGTCAACCAGACATTAGCACGAACTGTAGCATGAACGTTGCCATGAACTTGAACATTAGATAATATTAGTATGATTCAGCATGATGATTTGCGCATTCTGATCATTCCAATTGAAAGCTGTGCTGAACCCTTTTACCATCTAGATCAAAGTTCTTCTGGGATCTGCTGGGATTTAACAAGGGTTCGAAGGCTTCATTGCTATTGACCATCAGCTCATAGCATAGTTAGTTGGACTTTCCGGATGCAATCACTGGCTGCTTCTTCGCTTCAAAGCCATTTCATAATCATAGCACAACAAATCACAACTTTACAAGGATCATTGCCCATGCGAACAAATGCCACGCACGCTTTGCAACTGATCGTGTTGGAAAGTCATCAAATCTCTCGTTTATCACGAATTATCACCAGTCTGGCATTTATCACCAGTACTGGTCAGTTTCTACAAGAGCTGTCACGAATTCTGTCAATCAGTCAAACACGTTATCAAACAATTTTGGCCATGCTCCGCAAGAGTTATGCAACAGCTCGCCTTGGAGGGCAGGCTAGAGTTGGAATCTTGGTCCGACATCCTTTGAACATGTTGAAACTGTATTGGTTGGTTGGCGGGTTTTGAATTGAAACTCAAGAGGTTTGGCTGACGCGGAGCTTTTCTTCAACTTCGACCCCTGCATCGTCATCCACAGCTTCTCCACCTGTGTCTGTAGGCTGCGGAACATAGCGCTTCGCAAGTGATCGGTAAGAGTAGAAATTGCATTAGCTTGTTGTCGTGGGAGGTGATAGGGGTTTGATGCGGACTTAGTGTGCTACTTCAATTACAATACAGTATCACTTTTCCTATGCCTATGCAGAATGCTTGTTTGTCTTGTATCGTTTGAA